TATTATAGTAATTACTAATAACTATAGTTAGTTATAGACTTCTTCTAATATAAATACTAGATTAAATAAGTATAATTTATACTTATAAACTCTAGAGTAAGTATTTAATAGCTAAGATTAAAGGACTTTATTATTATAGTAGCTATTAGGTAGTACTTATTAAATAAAAGTAAGTTTATTAATAAGCTTCTTAAGCACTTTAAGCTTACTTTTCTTAAGGTTATTATATATAATATAGTAAAAAGTAGTATTTTATTACTTAGTAAAGTATATCTAAATAGCTTTAAGGCTCTTAAAGTAAGCTTTTATTTAGGTAACTATAGTAGTAAGGTCTTAAATATTCTTATTACTAATTTAGGTAAAATAAAAAGTAAAAGCTTTATTTTTAAGTATTAATAAAAAGGCTAATACTATCTAGTGTCTTTTAATACTAATTTTACTATAGTTATTATAAAATAAGTTTAACTTAATATTAAATATATTATATATTTTACTAGTATACTTAGATTTATTAGTAATAATCTTAGTTAAGGTACCTAATTACTAAGGAGAAAAATAGTTACTAGTAGTATTATTCTTAATTAGTAGTAGCTATCTTATACCTTAGGGTTCTATAAGATTAGTATATAAGTAAGTAAAAGGTTCTTACTATAATTAATAATAAGTAAAAAAGGATAATAGACTATTACTTTATTAAAATAGTCCCTATATTATATTATATAAAAGAAGTAGTAAATCTTATATAGATTAAGTCTACTATAGTAATACTAAGGTTTACTACTCTTACTACTATAACTTTTATACTTATTTATTAAGTTAGGCCTATATTATTACTAGTTATTACTTAAGGTTTATAAATATTACTAGGCTTTATTTAGTTATATAGGTAATAGGTTACTATTACTATTTTTATTTATATTACTTTAGGCTAATATAACTATATTAAATATTATTTAAGAAGCTATTATATATTTTAATAAGCCTATTAAATATTACTAACTTATACTATACTTTTTTAACTTTTTTATTTATTTATATATAAAACTTATTATTATTAATAATAGTAATAAGGTATAAGGTAATCTATTAATAGTCTTTAGGTATAAAGATACCTTAGTTAAAAAAGAAGTTATAAAAAATTAATAGTAATATTTTACTAGTAGTACTAAAGAGGTCTTTATCTTATTTATTAAAATAATACTAAAAGTCCTTTTATAGCTTATAACTTATAAAAGTATACTTAGCCTATTTAGCTATATAATAAGTAAAGTAAAAGTAAATAGTAAAAAGGTCTTACTTATTAAAAAGGATCTTTTAGTTATACTTCTTATAGTTAATATATTTTACTATAGAGGTAAGTACTTTAGAGTATAAAGTACTACTAGATTAACTTATTATAAGGTTAGTTATTAAAGTTAATTAGTAGTAATTACTATATAACTTTTATAGTAGTAATTAAGTAGTAAGTTTCTTTTTAATATAACTTATACTTATAAGTCTAAATAGTACTAGGTTATTTTTATATATATAAGGTAAATAAAGATAGTTTTTAAAGAAGTAAATATAAAAATAAAAAAAAAGTTAAATATAGTAGTAATTATTACTACTTAAGTGTCTTTTTTTAATAATACTATAGTTAGTATAAAAAAGATTTTTACTTATTAAAGGGGTTCTAATAGTATAATAAATACTATAGTGTTTCTTATAGAGGTAAAGTAGCCTTAATAATACTTAACTTAGTTAGTAGTCTACTAGGTTATAGTAGGCTAAGTAAACTCCTATAATAGTAAGCCTTATTAATTACTAGTTATTAGTAATAATTAACTATTAATTAATATTAGTTTTTATTAGTTAATTAATAAGGATCCTTATCTTATAATATTATAAAGGGTAAGAAAGTGTAGTTAATTTATAGTTATTAATAGTTAACTAGTTAACAAGGTGAAGTAGGAGCATAAGTGTAGTAGCACCCTTGTGTATAGGCAAGGGTAGGGGATTCTGCCAGTAGGCGGTGTATCATGTGACCTACCGCCTCCGGCCGCATCACCCATATGCCAACACTCTGGGCCAGTGGACTGAGGTCATTGAAAGAGGCGGGAATAGATATATGCAGGGCTTAGGATGAAGACCATCTTGGGGTTTTCGGGACAACAAGGTGAAATATAACGGCATCCAACCCAGCAGCTGTCGAATCTAGCACGCTGAATGTGTATATTGTGTCTATTGTTCTGCAGACTCTATCACCTCTAGACGTCAGTTGCCTTGAGGGGGAGAATCTTGATCTTCAAACCGCCCTGCGGCCTCAGCACAGGGCTGGGGTTCACGAGCACAATGTCCTTCGGACTCTCGGCGGCCTCGAACCTGAAGTTGCTCAGCATCTCCACCAGAAGGACCTTGATCTTCAACAGCGCAAAGACCCTGCCGATGCACTGGCGGGGCCCGACCAAGAACGTGGCGAACGCGTGCGGGTTGGCGGCCTCGCCGGTGAGGCGGTCCCAGCGGTCCGGGTTGAACTCGTCCACGTCGTCGCCCCAGATGCGGCTGCTGCGCGTTACCAGGGCCGGGAAGAGGTAGCAGAGAGTTCCCTTGGGCAAGACGGTCCCGCCGACGTCGATGTCGTCGACCGGCTCCCTCGCCACCAGGACGCCGGGCGCGTAGAGCCGGAGGGTCTCCTTGATGATGTGGTCGACGTAGTGCAGGCTGTCCAGGTCCATGTAGTCGGGACTGGGCTTCCTCGCCAGCAGGTCGAGGACTTCTTTCCGGGCCCGCTCCTGCATGTGCGGGTAGAGAGTGAAGGTGTGCGTGGCCCAGGTCAGCGTCGTGGCTGAGGTCTCGTGCCCTGCAACCATGACGTTCATGGAGTTCTCGAGGATCTTGCTCTCGGACCACGGGTCGCCGATGGCTCGCGACTCGAGGATCATGTGAGTTAGCAGATCGGGCTTCTCGCTGAAGCTGATTGAGCCCGAGTCGATCTCCTTGACTCGCTCCCGGATGATTTCCGTCAGTCTCGTGCGGACGCGGTTGCTACAGGCGTTGAACTCCCGGTTCTCTTCGAAAGGAAGCGCCCGGGTTCCTGGGATGTAGGCGTTCATGACCATCAGGAACGCGCCAAAAGCCGAGGGGTCAAACATCTTGTGGAAGGCCTCGTGGAACAGCGACGTGGACAGGGTGCTCCCCAGGTCGATTCCGAGGGTAAACCAGGCAACAATGTCGAGCGTGACACGGCCGTATGCAGAGGACACTACACACAAGCACCGGACTCGTTAGCAAATCATGCAAGCCGGTACAGCTGGTAACGGATATGCTAGGAAGCGCCTACCGTCTGTGATGCCGTCTTTGGCCTTGATCTGGTGGTGGAAGTGCTCGATAAGCTCCTTTGCCTTGCTCTGGAAGAGCGGGATTGCTCTCTTGACGTTGCTGAGGGCGAATTGGGCTATATATATACAATTCGTCATTAGCTAATGACCGATGAGACGGTTTTGATTCGAGGTAGGGCCTACGCGACAGCAGTTTTCTCTGGGACTTGTGCACATCGCCCTCTGAAAAGGCCATGCCGGCTCCCGCGAGCTGGACGACGACTCTGGTGTTGAACTGCGCCTTGACAAAGGAGTAGCTCTTCGTCTGGAAGATCTCCCTGTAGGCTTCGAGACTGTTGACGAGCAGACAGTCGGCGTTTCCAAAGCCAGTAAACTTGATAAAAGGCTCATCGGCCCATCTTCTCGTCCAAGACAGGTACGGCTCAATGGGACTCCCGGAACGCGCTTGGTTGATGAGATCGCCAAGCAGGAAATGGTGGTCCTACGGATACGTCAGAAAGCTTGCACAATGAAGCGGATTATTGGCATGAGGGATGCCACGCGGGTTTACCTTGGGTCCAGGAATATGTCTCAGAGGCGAGAAGAAGTAGGGATAAATGAAGACATTATAGACGCCCTTGGCGAGGTGTCTTGCGACTGCGATGGTGAGGAGGTACCGAGCTATCGTCTGCAAATAGGACTCGTGGAAGGCCGACAGAGCAGACAGAGCCCCGAGGAGCATGAATTCGTGATACCAGGCCGGTTTTAGGAACTCCATGATGATGCGCTATGTGTATAGCCCCGACTCTCGCAGCGTTCCGTGGTTTTCGAGAAGGGAGAACAAGAAGAGGCAGTCGGGAGAAAGCAGAGAAGTCAAACCTCACATAGAGGGGGAGGTGATCGCCCAGTCGATAAAAAACGAATCATGGCTGCCTTCACTGAACACCAACGGAACTGGTTCATTTCGACATATGCAGGCCCGTCGAGGACCGGGGAGTTGGGCACCATACATAGTAGACAAGAAGGGGGGGGGATTCCTGGACACCACGCAGCATCGAGGGGCAATTTTCCTCCATCATACAGACACCGCCAATAGACAATGCAATGTCCAACGGCACCCCGGAAGGCTAAGAAGACCCAGCAAACAGCTGCTTTACACGTTCGGGTTCATGCGAGTTTGTTTGTCTCGCCGATAGCCTATTACCTATTGGTCATTTAGGGGCAGGGTTGAAGCGAAGCATGCCGATTGACTCGGCTTGGCTGCTTATCGCAACCAGACAGCGTCCAACGGCTTACTCAGACCCAGCACGAGGTAAAAAAAACATGGTGATGATACGGAGGCGAGTTCTCAGCTGAAGGTTGCTTGGGATAGCTGATTGGTCCGGAGTTCATCAATGTTGCATTCTCATCCATGGTCAGCTTAGTGCTGCCGGGTCTTTGCTGCAGGCGTCTGGCCGATCCTGATGCTTCCCTGTTGAGAAATCCCCAAACCAACCGAAGAATATCAGTTATTAAGCGCGTTAAGAACCCTCTTCGTGCGCCGTTTTGTGACGAGATATGGGTAACGGGATGAACGACATGGCTAGGCTGGGTTCGGCCCGTCTGGGTCATTCCGTTCCGGGGCCGCACGGGCGAGAAGAGGGCGGGAGGGTATCCGCGTCCGTCAACGGCCGCCGATCAATGGAGGACAGCCCACACGTGGACTCAGCAATGATCGTATACCGGTAGGCCATTGACAGGTGTCAGCCTGTCCCGATACGTCTTTTCTGCAAATGCAATGAAACGATCCACGTCCTCCGCCGTCGATACGAAGCCGAAAGAGACGCGGACGGCTCCGACCGGGGCCAGTAGACGCACGTAGTCGTCCAAGGAGCTGGTATGAACCTTGTTTAGTGTCTCCAGCAGCCTCTTCTTCAGCCCAAAGGCCGCTTCGCCGGCGCCCGGGTTGCAGAAACATCCGGTGCGCAACGAGATCTTCTGCGCCGATGATTCCACAGCCACCAGCCTCTCGTCAACCACCCGGCCGCCCGCATCTAGGAAGTTGAAGCATATCGTGCCGCCCCGTGATACCATGCTGGTCGGGCCATAGATCCTGGCCACCGGCGACCCGTCGCTGTGTTCTAGCGCTCGTAGACGCTCGAGGCACCATCCGGTCAAGCACCGGACCCTGGTCGCGATCAGGGGCATGCCAATGCCGTCCAGCCAGTCCAGGCCGTAATGGACGTCGGGGATCGACAGAAAGTTGACCGTGCCGTCTTCGAACGCCGCTTCGTCCGGCGCCATGACGTGCCAGTGTGCGCCGACCGACGCGGCCGTGACGGTGCCTCCCGAGAACCACGGCCGCGTGTGGGCCAGCCGGGCCAGCGCGCTGCGCCGCACAATCAGACAACCGACTCCAGTCGGGTACCCAAACAGTTTATACCAGCTGACGATGACGAACTCTGGTTGGACGCCGCCGGCGGCTGACAGATCGAGCTTCGCCGTAGGCAGGTAAGCCGCGGCATCAAGCAGCACGTCGTACCCCTGCTGCTGTGCCACGCCGACCCAGGAGAGCGGATGACGCACACCACTAAAGTTGCTCTGGGCCGGGTATGCAAACAAGCCGCTCCTGCGGGGGTGGGGGGAGCCCAAAAGCCCTCGCCTACGAGGTTTTAGCGCTGACATCAGATCGGACGGGTCTACCCTCAGATCCGGCGCGCGGGCGGGGATGTAGATGGTCTGGGCATGGTTCCCGCGCGCGAACTCCCTCAGCCCGTTGACCGAGTTGTGGTTGTCAGATGTGAGGACCAGTCTCGTCCGCCTCTTGAAGGGGTAGGCCTCGGCGACGAGCCTCGCCGCTCCCGTCGCGTTCGGGGTGAATATGACGGTGTACTCGTCCGGGGAGGCGTTCAGGTGGGCGAGCACGCGGGCCCTGGTGTCTTCCACGAGGTCGGTGGCCGACTGGCTTGTTGGGTTGATGGAGTGGGGGTTCCCGAAGAGCGTCTGCTTGAGCCGGCTCTCGTGGGCGCGGAGCTGGGACTGCGCAGCTAGGCCCGCGCCAGTGAAGTCTAGGTAGAGATGGCCTTGCTTATCGAGGTAGCTGTAATCTGTTGCGCGGAGATTGTCCAGGCGGGACGTTGACTTGTACTCTGGGTAGTTGATGAGTATGTTTTCCATTCTGATTTGTAACCAACTGCGACGTCGAGTTGTAATACAAGTCCTCCATATATGTTTAGTAAGTGAGGTCAAGAACATATGGGAGAGGACAAAGAGCGAGGGGTGAGACACTGCGTCGAATGTGACATTCTCTCGGGCGTTATTATACGTAGTAAGAGCAGGCTGGACTGGCATGTGGATGACTTGCATGCCAAGGCCTTCGCCAAGACACCGTCACCATGCCTGAATGCCCATGGAATTTCGAGCTGGTCGGAGATTCCTACCTCTAGGTATTCCTACCGCTAGTTTTTCTTTTATATTACAGACTGGCAGGCGTGGCATCCCAACCAGCGGTAATGTTTCTCCCGGCACGGTCCCAAGTGACGTTGGCGCCGCATCCAACGCGCTTAGGTACCTGGTATCACTCGTAGTGTGACGGAGGACGGTTCGGCTCAGGTACGCAGTGCGTAGATCGTCCCTCATACGTGCCTGATGATGAATTGCTTATTCTAATGTATGGTTACTGCATTGTGTAACCGGCATGCGCGGCGGACTTGGTTACCGCATCTTTCGTGTTTGGGGAACTTGTATTCAAGATTAATATCTAGTAGTAGACCTGTGGACTTGAGGTGCGGCAGCAGGTATTGTCGCAGCCAAAATGTCTCAGTTGCCTGGAGACAAAACCAAGACTGCAGTGCATACACACCGAGGAATCCCTTGATAAGCCAGGCCAGGGGGGGTTGGATTCGATGCTGCTTTAGGCGCCCACCTCGCCGTTTGTTGGTAAGCGGTGAGGAGGCGTATCTGTCCGACGGCGGTGCAGAGGTCGAATCCTTTATGGCCAGCAGCATATCTGGGTGAGGCACGAAGCAGTTCTCGTCCGGGTTTCGTCCGGGACACCGACATCGCTGTTGTGGTTATACAACACCTGCAGGGTGGTGGTGATACTAGACTTGCTGGCTGTTGCGCGAGCGTGCAGTAAGCGTTATGAAACCCCTATTACTTCATGAAAACCAATATTTCTATTCAACGCAAAGAGACTACGCTTTTAACCCACGGTATGTGAGTGGCGTACCATCCACGTGTCTGGCCATACTCTCTTCGTGTCCTTCTTCACGCATTTGCCTGTGGCTGGTCTTACCGATGCACCTGTGCTGCAGGAAGCAGAATACTAAGGCCTCCATTACCCCTCCGACAGCCCTTCGGAATGAAGGCGCTCACAGAGATGCCTAGTCACATTACGACAGCACAGCCCCTCCATGGTCTACTCATGTTTTCCCCCCCTTCTCCACAGATAGGATTCAATACGTCTCAGCTCGGGGACGTGGTGGTGTGTAAGACGGACGATGTGCAGGATGCTGCATGCCACCTATCTAGATGCCTAACCGGAAATACACAGATCTCAGTACAGGTTCGCTAGACTCGGCGCGTTCATTGGTGGGCTTGCCCTCAACACCTGGACCTCATATCAGATAGGAACAAAGAGCAATGCAATGTCTATTGGCTCGCCACACCGTAGAGCGAGACGCAATTCCAAGCCTTTTGGTGAATTGTCCCGCACAGGTATCATCAATGCTCGCCAGGTTGATACCCGATGAAAGCCTATCACAAATCTACAACGCGGAAGCGATGTCGCCCCCGCCATATAATTTACCAGAGCCTTTATCGTACTATTTAGGGAAGACCTATAGGACTTTCATCTGATGTCTCATGACCGCCGCCACCACGCCTACGCTTCGATGACACGTCGTGTATAGCATGCAAGAACAGCAGTACTAGAGTTCATGCATCAGAAGAGAACTGATATCATTGCGCTGCCAGCTGTTACTAGGTGATTTGTTGCATTTATTCTATTAATACACACATGTACTTACGTTACCGCACTTCTATAGATCAATGTACCCGGTCGCTGTTGCGCATTCATCCAGTGAGGCTCGGCACTTACCGAGGGCAAATCGAGAATATACTACTAGCTGTTTCATCACAGAATATTACTCAGGTGAATACTCGTTGGCCCCTTTGCTGCTTGCGCGGTAGACCCGCAAGATTCAACGGGCATTCAATGTGCATGCTGTTGTGACTCGTCCTATGCTATGTCTAATTTAATAGTCAACCATTGACGAACGTGTGCAAAATGAAACAAAAAGGAAAAGAAGACGTTGATTATACAGGTTGCAATGAATATCTGTAATACACGAAATAGGTTGTTTTCAATCTCTTTCTATTTTTTCGACCTTGAGCTGCGTCACATTATTGATGATAGGTATGTTTTGGATGATATAGCTACGAACGATATCGGTGTCTCTTGCTCCTGCTTTCGTTAGATAATACTAGTTTACAACTGTGATTAAGTGCCATAGCGAGGGTGTTTACTACTTGAAGTCTAATCGGTCGTCCCAATGAGTAGATATCATCTAACATTACGAATAATACATGTGCGTACCCCAATCCACTAATTTACCTTTTTTTTTTCTTCCCTTTTTTCTTTTTCTTTATTCGAGAAGTACCAGAACAACTAGTTTGACAGATCGCTTTCCGTCTTCTCTGCATCAATTCAAGCCATTATAGTCTATCATAAAGGCATAACGCGTCAACCGCAGCCTGTGATCACCCGCATCGTATTTGCGACAGTCATGAGCCGAGTCATGTAGTAGCTCGTGTGTCTTGACAGTACTACGCTGTATCTTATAAACAGTCATCTTGATAACTTGGCCAGCCCTTCGACACCTTACTCACGCAGGAGGAAGATAACCCACCTAGAGTTTGGCGGCACGTACACAATGAGATGGTTTCAAGGCTATTCTTGTCGCCCCCGCTGTTAAAGGGGCGGGAAACTATATGCAGTGTCACGAAGCATATAGAGTAATAATTACTGCACGCGATCAGCGGCGTCGTTTTCATGATACAATCTGAGAACACCTGGATGGAGACTGCAGCTTCAAGCTCTTGACCATCTCCCCTTATCAACTTGCCATATCCATCACGCCGCCAAACATCCTTGCAACTCCACCAGCACACTCCAAGCGCGCAAGAAACTCATGTGGATCAGCGGGGATGTCTCGTTGCTTCCATGATTATTCCCCAATGAGGTCATGAGGCCCCCATTGCAGCCAGTCGGTTTGCAACATGACAAAGCTGGAACTGGCTCGTCGTAGGGGTAACCCGGCCTGAACTCTGAGGATGCTGGGGTTGACCAATCGAATATTTTACCGCGCTCATTACCGGCATCAAGTGGGCCTGTCCATGCGGCGGACCGCGCTCGAGACAACGAGGAGTAGGTAGAGTCTCGACTGACCCCGGCAAACTTTTCCTTATCTGGTCCACGCAGATGCATCCGACGGGTTGGGTTTCTTGCCAGCGTCTGGGCTATTATCTATCACATCGATATCTACGTAAGCATTTTGTCTCTATGTGCCTTCGCCATTGAGCGCAACCCTTGACAGCAGCTTCCCCCCCCCCTCCCCAGACTTCTGCAGCGGAGCGGTTGACTTGGCATCTTTATCTGTGCTGCTTCCACCGCGGTTGTTCCGGCCGCCATGTCGCCGGATGCTGTTAAACCCCGCCGTACGCTTGCGGGTCCGATCTTCCGCGTTCGGACGGGCTGCTTAACCTGTCGCGGTCGGAAGAAGAAATGTGACGAGACGAAGCCGCGTTGCCGCGGCTGTGAGCGAAATAAGCTGGAATGTCAATGGCCGTTGACGGGGTCCAGTAGTGGCGCGTCGCGTTCAGCTCGCGAGCCCTCGGTCTCACAAGACAAAGCATCTCACACCGCCAGACAACCCGCGGCTCGTTCAACGGCGTCTCCGGAAAGCTCGACCGGAGCATCACAGAGTCCGCAAGCCGTTCGAGACTCCTCGCTTGGCCTCGAGCCGTTCAACTTTGCATCGCAGCCCACATCATCCGAGTCCCCCGCTGCTACCACGATTGCCTCGAGTCCGGGACCAAGCTCTCAGCCAACTAGAACCATTCCTGCGCCCCCCGTCACAGTAACCCCAATCACCGCGGCCGCGGGTCATCATATTCAAGATGCAGGGGTCTCTTACCAGTTCGATACATCAGATGACGCATCAATCGCAGGCTTGGTATGCAACGAGCCACTGTCCTTCTCAACGATTGAGGGCGATGACCTCGACGACGATGAGACGGCCGATCAGATGTTGTGCTCACCACTCCGGAGAGCCTCGGATGCGAGCAGTTTCATGAGCAGGGGGATGAGTCTGCTCGGCGGGAACCACGACGAGAACGCCCTGGAGCTGCTGAGCCATTACCTGAGCGCGACGACAATAAGTATGGCCAACGGATCAACGTTGGAAAACCCCTTTTCCGTGCAACTGATACCGCTGGCCTTCGGCAGCGACCTTGTGCTTCAACTGCTCCTCACCCAGAGTGCCGTCCACAGGGCTGCCAAATCTTTGGTTTCCGCAGACAGGGTCGCCACAAAATATTATAACCAGTCACTGCGACTCTTCCAGCACAACATCTCCACGTTCATGGGCGGGCAAAACGGCGAAGAAACGTTGATATTAGGTATCGGAGCTTTGATTCTATGCCTTGTCGAGGTTAGTGCAGCCGGTGGCCCTGTTCTTGTCTCGCTTGCAGGACGTCCCTTGTGAACCTGTGACGGATCTCGTGTCCAGATATTGACACTTCCATAGACGGCCAAGGGCGATGTGAACGGCACTATTCTCGACCACCTGATGGCAGCGCAATCTCTCATCCTCCCTTTCTTGTCAGCAAACAGTACGCTTCTCCACAAGTCGCTCAAAGACTTTCTGACCGAATACTATCTTTACACGGCAACGGTCAGCATGATATCCATTGACGCGCGTCTAAGCGACCAACTCTTCCTTAGTAACGACCTGTTGCTTCTTGCGACAGAGCTCGTTGCGTCCTCGTACATTGGTAGCCTAACTGGCTGCTGGCTAGACCTGATACTCCTGATCCCATCCGTCTTCGATATGGGCCGGCGCATGATGGGTCATGCGGGAAACTCCGACTGGCAGCCCTCGGCCGACGACTTTATCCTCTTTGCTCAGCTCCTGGGCCAGATACAGAACTGGCAGCCCAACCCGACAGTAAGCGAAAACGTAGCCCTGGCGGGGTACATATACCAGAAGGCTATTCTCTTATACCTTCACACGGCATTACACCCTCTTTCTCAACACAATGACAGTCTGCATTCGGTGGCCGTACAGTCCGCCCTCAGCGGGGCTCTATCGCACCTCGCGCAACTGGACCCGAGCGTCCGCATCAACACAAGCCTATGCTGGCCCATCACCATCATCGGCTCTTGCGTAACGGACAAGGGGCAGCAAGCGTTCCTGCATGAGAGGCTGGGCCATATGTTTGCGACCATTGGCCTGGGTAACATTCGCCAGACCTCTGTGCTGCTGCAGCACGTCTGGGACCACAATGAAGTGACACCGGCGGACGTCGGCGCAGGGCCGTGGAACGTCTGTCGTGTGATGAACGAGAAACAAGTATGGATATCCTTTGCATGAGACACTAATGGAAGGAAGATTCTTTCAAATGACGGGCGTTGCTGGATTGGTGGAGCGTCAACACGCAGTTAGTTGCACTGGGATATTTCGTTGGTATTGGGGTGTTTGGGAGGCGCGAGCCAAATTATATGGAATTCTTTTCGGGCAAACGAGCGATTTAGCGAGCAAGCGAAAGAAAGGGGGGGGAAGCTGACTGCATTTTGCCTTCTTTCTTGACACGCAACAAATCCAAACCTCGCGTGGCTACCAACCCTTCCACGGCACCCAGGTGTCCCTGACAACATCATCCTCATCCACGACATAATACACGTAGAAGGATGCTGCGGTTATACACGCATGCTGGATATTGAGGAAGACCTTGTCTCCGATCTCGAAGTTGGCCTCCACGTCCCTCTTCTCGGGTTCGGCGTTCTTCGAGCCGGGGCTCTGGACCTCCCCCACAATGCCGTGCTCCTGAGACATCCTCACCACCGCCCAGCCCGGCTTCCCCACCACGCTGCCGAAGCCCGGGAACGGCCCGGTCTCCTTTGAGAGGGCGATGGTGCCGGCGTTGATGAGGGCTTCGTTGCGTTCGGGGTACACGCTGCACACCTCGGCGATGACGCGGACGGCTTGGTCCTCGGGGCCGACGAGCCCCGTCGCGACCTGTTGCAGATCGTTCGTGGGGAAGTTTCCTAAGGGACGAGGTGTCAGCGGTCGACTAGACTACACCAGCGCTCTCAGTGAGTTATTACCCACCGGCGTGAAGCTCCAGAGTCACGTTGTCGGGAATCGTCGTCTTGAGACTGCCCACAACATGCGCTGTCGGAGTGGCGCCGACGGACAGGGTGAGCTTCCGGTCGCCCACAATCAACTTTGCAGCGCCCAAGACGCCGTTTATCTCGTCCGAAAGAAAGCTCTCTGCCTCTTCTTGCGTGCGGGAAGCGTACGAGTGGCCGGCGTGGCAGTAGAAACCGTATAACGAGACTGCGGACGACCCGTCGGCGCGCTGGATGAGCTTCTGGAGACGTTCACCGCCGAGGGGCAGACCCGCGCGCTTTGTGCCCACGTCGAGCTTGATGTAAATGTCCCAGGCACCCCCAGAAGTCTCGGGGTTCTTCTTTGCGAAGTCCTCGAGGAGGGCGATCTGCTTCTCGTGGTCGATCATGAGGAGGATTTTGACCGACTTTCGTAGGTCGCTCAGGAACGGGATGGCCCCCAGGGCAGGGGGGAGCCCGTAAAGAACCTGTTAGGATATGCTTGTCAGCACCCGGGGTGGAAATATGCATGGACAAGAAGCCTTTTTACCTCATCTAGAGTCCCCTCCTCGGCCAGCGGTAAAAGGCCACGGATTTCTGACAACGTGGATGCCACTGTCTTCTTGAACTTGCCATTGCCAAGCATCAGACGGGTTACCTCGAGGCTCTGCAGACTTGTTAGTCGTTGGACGAGAGATAATAGAGAAAGACAAGGTAGGCAAGCGATGCACCTTGAGAGTTTTCACATGAGGCCTGAGAGTAACTCCGGCCTTTTCCACGTCCTGGTGCAACTTCTCGATGTTCTTTTTGATGACCGGCAAGCTCAGAACCAGTGAGGGTGAGGGCAGGTCTGACGCCTTGGAGCCGATCAGAGACCTGTGGTTCTGTAATGAGTAGTCCATTGTGCTAGATGCGGGTTGGCGTTGTTGGCTACGATGCTATGCTTTAGGAGAATTGGTTCAAGAGGTCAAATAGAGGCCCGGCTTTTGTTGCGACTCTTTGAGCTTCCCAGCGGACCGGTAGGAGGAGAGACGGTGAGCTGGACGTACGGAGGTGACCGAGGCGCCGAGAACGGCGATAGGGGCGGCACAAAGTGGAACCACGTGGGCTTTCCCCCCCCCTCTTGTACCTCCGCTCCGGCGCCGGCAGCGTTGAGCGCGGAAAACAAGGTGATTGGCAGAGGGTTTTGCCGTCCTTGTTAACGCCTATCACCGATGAAATCTTGTCTACCAAATATCAACAGTTGCTAAGAAAAGAGTGCCACTTGCTGAAGCCTATAATATCTCAAATGGTGTACATGCATAGCAAATCGTTGCCTACTTAACCGCAGTGCCCTTGTAAAAAGATTAGCGTTATATTTGACGTAATCTGCGAGGTAACAGTTGTATAACTTACCAGTTCTTAACAATTGTGGCCGGGATGATACCAAAAGGTTAGGCATAACTGAAGACTATCTTCTATTGTACCCAATAGCCTATCATTTAGCTGTAGCTTTAGCGTTTACTCCATCTCCAGGTTTAACCCTACACAAGCCAGACTAATCATATCTGGGAACTTGAGCTCTATAGATGCATAAAACTTATAGCTTACTTTGAGGCCGTAGAGGATGGCCTTTCTCAATTTTGTTGAGGTTAAGCAAGACAGAAGCTTGTCATCACCCCCACATCCTACATCGAAACATTGATCTACTGCATTAGATAGAGGTCTGCACTGCCATATCTTCACTCATCTTGAGACCTGCGCCTGGACTGCCTAATTCAACGTTAGAATTTCTCTTGATCATATGAATACGTCGATGCTGCTTGCTCGCCAGTGCCAGTGCCCGTCACCTGTCGCTCCCATACTGTAATTCCTCCATTCGGTTAGATGACCAGCGACATCGCACACTCGCCCAGGCCAGACAATAGAGAGTGCGTGGCCGCATATGGCGGAATCAGGGAAGCACTCTTGCGTCGACTAGGTTGTTACTATCTGCAAACACCTTATCTGCCATGAGGGGAAGAGTGCTACTATTTGTGGCGTCGATGGCAGACATCTTAACGGGAATCGGATGTCACCTCCCGGCAAAAAAAATAAAAAAAAAATACTCGGAGTCCTGAGGCCCAGCTCGCATATTGCAGTGAGATTGGCATGGACTGCTCGGATCTGGTACTATCCCACAGCGACATGGGACCCTACAATGTGATAGTCAACTTGGTTCAAACGAATAATGTCTCGGTTGGTGTCATTGCTTGGGAGATGGCCGGATATGTACCGCGCCACTGGGTCAGAACCAAGTTCCGCGTTTCCTCTGCTTTGGGCTTCGGCTTTCCTGGCTACGCTAATGAGCGCCACAGTGAGCGTGTGAATCGGAGGAGGCGCGTGCAGCAGAAGCTGGAACAAGAAAGCTTTCCCGACGTTGCAGACGCTTATATAACACGATACGAAGACTCAAAGCGACATGGCGAGCAAAAGGGTCCGGAAGATAGCTCCTCTTAGTTTCCTCCCCTGCCCCCTTACCGCATCGTCAACCTCATGACTGTGAGTGTGCCGGTTTGCCTTGCGAGCTCTGGCACCTTCACTACTGCAAGTGCGAATGTTCACCTTTTGAAGCCCTACTTGACCACAACGACAGCCAATCAACCGGCTGCATGCCCGGACGCCCAGACGTCCTAGATACATTATACCAGCCGCGAGACACTCAGGATGACAGATTCCTCCTCTTTCATTGTCGTGGCGATATAGAAGAACAGTTGTAGCAACGGCAACTGTGGGTCTACTATTGTCCTCACATTTATAAAATCATCCTTTTGTCGCTTCTTTGCTCCCCTTCGCTTCCTCTGGTTCCGAGCATTAGGGCCGAGTGAGCCGAGAGATAGACGACCGCGGAACTCTGCTCGCTCGAAGCCCACAATCATAACGTTGCCATTTCCTTGCTCATGCACAATGTCGCGTGGGTCCGCATCTCTGTGAAGGACGTGCAGCCTGTGGATTGCCTCGTAAGCTGTGACAACCTTGTTGATGATGTTGTGTAATTTTCTATATTTTGCTCTTGGAGTGACTTCGTTCGCTCAGATTCCTGTCGGCGGATAAGACCATGTTGACATGGGTGCTCAGCGCCACCACATCTCCGCTTTGGTCTAGGATGGTGACTTCGAGATCGAGTCTGCCATTTCGAATCACTTTGACCATGGACCGGATAAAGAGCCACTCGGCCCCCTCGTCGGGCAACGCTTTCTTCACGTCCAGATTCAGAGCAAGAGTCGGATACCAAAACATGTCGTTGTACCGGAACGGGGTCTGTTCCTCGTCGCGCGTCGGTCTCCAGGCTTCAATGACGGTCGGATACGCATCCGCGACAAACCCAACCGATGCGTTGGTGAACCTCTCGCCAGACTTGAACCGCAGCCACAGGTCCGCGATGCCCCGACGCGTGCCCTCGCGCGGCGCGTAGTATTCGACGTTGTTGTGCGCGCGCACATAGGACGTCGCGCGCGCGTTGAGCTTCTCTTTCTTCACCCAGTGCTGGTCTTGGTCCAGGGACAGGAGGGCAAAGTCGGCCGGCTCGGGCGGAGGGGTCATGTCCCATCCGGTCGCGAGGGTGAGCCCCTTCTCGGCAACTAAGCGCGTGTTGATAAAGTAGCCGACGACATTCCTCTGCGAGTTAGGCGTGAACCAAGGGGCGGCTGGTAGCAGGTCGTGTTGGTAAAGTGAGACGTGCAATGTCGAGAGGTTCCGGCCGATCTTGACCTCCTCAACGATAAGTATCGCAGGCCCTATTTCCGCACGATTGACGTACTCGAAATGGGCAGAGATGGTGTCGGGCTGCCCACGCTCTGTCAGGTGCAGAGATGCCGCGCGCAGCATCACAGACGCGACGTAGCCGCCATTGGGGACTGCACTATGTCAGCCGACCGACCGCGCGGGTTGCTGTGACGGTTTTCACCGCTACTGACCGGAGCCAGTGCACCAGCCAGAGACAAGGTTGGCACTATATACATCCGGCTGTAGTCTTGTTATCTTTGTAGCTTCGCTGAACGGTACAAGCTCTTCGGAGGTTGACATTACGCCAACGACTTTGAAGGGACGGACCCGCCGGCAATGCGGATGCTCGATAGACTGCGACAAGCAACAAAACAGAAATCCCAAAGTCGGTGGGCAATTATCAGAAATCTCGCAGGAGGTTAGAATGCGGAGGTGTGTCACTCGTCACGGGGATCTGGAGAAGTTGGTCCGGTTCATCCCAGGGGGCCTTGCCGAAGCGTGTCCGTCCTGGAACGGCTCTTATTACCTATGCAGCTATGCTCCTATGAGATTAGCATGGAATGTCGGGCGGAATTCGTCCTGTCTCGGCGGCCCTTTGTGCCTCGGCTCTTCGTATTGTCACCTGACTCGCCGGCCGCTGCTTGAGCCGCCTCCTGGACGTGGCCACAAAGACCTTTGGAGTTCTTGGCAACGTTTCGGTAGAAGCTGTACCTCGGCAAGTGGGGCACAAATCCCATTCTTGTCTATTCATCTACTCCGTACTGTACGCGTCCTGCCGGCTCAGCCGTGGTGATGGCTTAGATGACGTGAGATTGGCTGAGGAGTGGCATCGAGAGCCCACTCGGAAAACCATGCTCATAAGCCACTCATCGATCCTCCATAAGAAAGAGGCTCCAATAGAGTCCCAACAATCCAGATCCATGTATCCATGACGTCCCAACGAGGCGTCAGGGGGGCATACCGGCTACCAGCTCCCTGGTGTTGGTTTTTGGGTAGCATTTTCGCTGGGACGAGATCAGTCAGCAGAAAATCTCCTTGTGGTGGACGTAATATGAAGCCCGCCGTCCCCGGCTGAGAAGACGTCAATCTCAAACTCAATTTGTGCCTACATGTCCAAAAATCCAACCCTTATCCCGCTTACTTGATTGGTCCTCAGCTCTCCTCGTCTTGCCGCCAGTTACGTTAAGAATGGCCGTGAAATCGGATCGTTTCCCCGGCTTCAAAACCGTCACAGACCAGATCTTTGTCCGCGAAGGAGAAGAGTTGGCTGCCGGCGCAAACCCGCCGCCCGACCACCCGAGGGTCGTAGTCATCTACAGCTGGGGCGACGCCCTTCCCAAGCACGTCGCCAAGTACGCCGATGGCTTCCGTAAGCTCTTCCCTCACGCGAGGCAAATCGTCGTTCTAGCGCCCATTGTGAAGGCCATGAGGGAGGACCTCGAAACCCGCGCAGCAAACATGAGCCCCGTCATCGACCTCGCGTACCCGGAGGCCGACTCGGACACAGCGGGACCCGACGAGGACGCGGTCTTGCTGCACGTCATGTCCAACACCGGCGGCATCAACTACGCCGGGTCCCTCTACGCCTATCGACAGAGATACGGCCGTCCCATGCCGCACCGTCTGTCCTCGTACGACTCCACGCCGGGAAGCGTGATCCTGACGATCGGCAACCTCAAGCGCTGGTCCCTCGCCATGGCGCTGGGGACAGCCGGCTGGTTCCCCTGGCCCTTCGTCGTGACCCAGTTCATCATGGCCATCTTCCTCCTCCTGAACCACGCCTACGAATATCTCATCGGTCGCGAGAGCGCGCCCGTCTTCAGCGTCAAGGCCATCGGCGACCCCAAGTACGTCTCCAAGCGCTCGCGAAAGCTGTTCCTGTACAGCAAAGAAGACCCCCTCATCGGCTATGAGGACATTGAACAAAACATGGCCGAGTCCAAGGCCAAGGGCTATGCATACAACGCCGCCCTCTTCGAGGGCACCGGCCACGTCGGCCACATGCGCGTGTTCCCTGACAAGTACTGGGGCGCTATTGCAGACGCGTGGGAGGCGACGTGAAGTTCTCCGGGAAATGAAACCATTCAATCAGATAGACGCACATAGACGCGCATAGACGAATGACAGTTCGCCGTAGTCGGGCCCCTTGTCTCCCTGATAGAGGCTTGGATTGCCGGCTATTGCCGAGCAAGTTTTAGAGTTTTTGAAATATAATAATGTTGTGACCTTATAGGTCCTATATAAGGCGTTAGTTGCTGCTCTGCCACTAACGGCGTCGTTTTTAGTATGACAAATAATTATTAATGTCAAGATTTGATACAGCAGAAGTGACTGCATGACAAAGAGGATCGTGTTGAAGAATGCTAATGGCGCAGAGAATATGTTCTGCGTCCTGAGCTGAGGAAAGACTGGAGAAGAAGACACTGTGTACTGTGTGCTTGGTTTGTTTGACACTAATATGCGTATGATGGACGGGGAGGGAGCAAAGGCCTTGGCCAAACTTGAAGAGGAGATCATCAAAGTGTAGCACCGCAAAGTGCTCTACTGGGGTTAGGATTCGTCAACCCCCCCCACGCACGTATGGCATACGACTTCCGGTAGCATTCCGCCTCCTTCGGCTCATGCGGCAAGGAAAGGTCTTTGGGTGACTTGTCAGCCCAGCTGTTAACTCCACCTTGGGTAGCACTTCCTCTCCTGTCGGCCCTAGTGCTGTTCCTATGTCTAACGTTGCAATCATAGAAGCGACTGCAATCCAAACGTTTGCTTCGGCAAGATGTTGCCCTACACACAATCTCCTGCCAAAGCCGAATTGTCCCACAGGGAACGGCTCGCCGTAGCCGCCTTGATCCGCAGGGGAATACCTATCTGGGTTGAAACGCCCGGGATCGAAGTAAGCACGCTCATCTTGCGTCATCGCGCGAGCATTGGCGTAGACGACGGAGCCTTTGGGAATGAACATGCCGTTGTATATATCGTCTTCCAATGATCGGTCCGGCACCCCGAGAGGAGATACGGGGCACCATCGTAAAGTCTCCTGGACGATTTATTAGTCGGTATAAGGTAGCCTGGGTCTGTCCTCGAAAGTAGGTAGCCTGTTGTCCCCAGTGACCTCGTCGATCAAAACTTGAGCCTTCTTCTGCACTTCGGGGTGGAGGGTCATGTTGAGGACGAGCACGATCAGTGTAGCCCATGTCGTGTCCTGCCCCGCGGCGTAGACGGCCCCTGCAGCCCCTTTTATGTCGTCCATCGAAACTCGAAAGCTCTAGAGATCCCGTTTTGGCTTGGTCTCTTTGTAAGTTGAGCATGACTTTGACGAGGCTTTCCTTCGGATTCTTTTGTGCCTTTACTTCCGAGTACGGCACGTCGTGGAGGCGCCGGATGGCCCATTTCCAGTCCCTCGCAAATCTGAGGGAGCGGTCTCTGACCAGCCAGTTTGGCAGATATGTTAGGAAGGGGAAGAAGTCCACTGGGGTACCAGCTGGCGCCCCTGCATGGCCAAGGGCATACGACGCATCTGCAGCTATCTGAACATAGGAGTCGTCGTCGCTTTCTACGTCGACCCCGAATCCAATGTTCATCATCACCGCAGTCGCAAACCTCCGTAAGGCGGTTTCCCAAGACGTAGGGTCCCCCATGAGACCTTCTACCAACGTCGAAGCCTCCCTCTGTTGCAGCTCGCGGTATGCCACAATGTTAGTCCGGGAGAAGCTCTTTCGCAAGATACTTCGGTGCATCCGAAATTCAGGGCCCCATCTCAGGAACGTCAAAGTCTTCCTCCAATCCATTTCCTCAAACAGAACGAAGCGCGGGCGGTCGCAGTAGTTCGCCCCGCGCCTGTCTAGAAGGTCCACGGCGGCACGCACCGAGTTGAGCACGACGACGTCTTGTCCCAGTATATTGAAGTATAACACGTCAGACTTGTATTCCTCGGACCACGCGGCATATGCGTTTTCGGGGTTCTCGGTCGAAGGGATATGAAGGTGGCCTAGGATCGGCCTACCCGGGGGGCCCGGTGGAAGTGGGACGCCCCGCCGTCGCTTGCCGGGGCCGGACCGAGCGATGACGGCATGGGGACCAAGGACTGCGGTGAGCAGAATGAGTATCGCAAGGAGGCGCGTGGTGTGCGCGACAATGAATTGAAAGAGAGCCATTTCCGAAAAAGTAGTGGCGGCTGTGTCTGTCGAGCGGATGTGGTCATGGACGAGAATATTGTAAGTTGTGTGTGTATGTTGCTAGTGTTCATACGGACGTACTACCTGCGATTCGTGAAACACAACCTCGCAATAGGCAGGGGATTTTACAGTGCTATGTGATGACGGTGAAATACACAGGGCATGGATGAAATCAAGATGACTGGCAGAGCACCTCCAGCACCTAACGGCGAGGAAGATTAGTTTGTTTTCACCAGGGGCAAAAGGCAAAATAGACCTTGTGTTAAGTCGGGTTAGTGGCGAAAAGAAGCATGGGCTGAGGGGAACAGACAAAGAAGGCGTTCGATATTGTCTCTATGGCTTGCAGCCGGTCGGATTTCGGTTTACAGTATGGAAACTAGTTGCATTCCCGGAGACGTGTCTCATAATTCTCCGAAATAGGGAAAGAAGGTGACTTATAACCCCGGCATAATGCCTCTTCTGGCTGTTCTGGAGGCAAATCGAGCTACGTGTTTGGCCATATGTGATCGGGGGCTCACGGCAACCGCATCCTCCGCGGACCCGACGGACTCGGGCCCCTATCGGTAACAGGCCGGTCTCGCCACTTCGATCCTCTTCGGCGTGGCATATGCTTTTTCAGCAGTGTAACTATGCAATCATGGCCCAGAAGAATGAGCTATCTATGTATATTTATGTAGACTCTTTCAATACCTGTACAATCATTGATGAAACTAGCACCATGCCCATGTGAAGAGCCAGGCTGAGAATATATCATGTGTCAAGGCATCATCAGACGTGGCCACCGACGGCTTGCCAAGACAACATTCCAATCATGACTTCTCTGGTTCAAGCTTGTCCATTGCCAGGAATTCCGGTAAACCGAGTTTCACCTTACTGGAAAACATACCAATTCCCTTAACGGTACATACAATGGCAAGATTGGATGGTTCTAGAATCGCGGATATAAAAAGGGGTCGAAGATAGATATCTAATAATCAATCGACTATGACCTTGATGTACGCTTTCACGTTAAGCAGAACAAGGCTTGAAGGCGAGATCAGATGCTGATTACTTCTGCTCTATTTCCGGCCCAACCATCCTCCCGTCACAGAAAGCTTTGCATGGCCTGTGACATGCACGATCGTTTCTGTGCATGACTCCTAAATGAATCACCCTCCTCCCTGCACTGTAGTGGGCTTAGCAAGATTCTCAATGTCATATCTGTGAGTTTGGCCCATGTGAGTATCGCGGTCTGATTAGCGCCGCAAACACGGCATACGGAATTGAGCTCACATCTGCTGGATCTCTGCATCTCTTGGCGACATCTCGGATGACTCCGTCGAGGATCCATCGATTACATGTACCTTGTGGCTCTCGGGTGCGGACTTTGCTTCTATGCGGCGGCGTTTTTTTCTCTCCTTCGCCACCAGGTCGTTGTATTTGACAATCCACATCTTGCTAATCTCCGTGGATTCTTGGTCCATCCGTTGCCTTTGTACTGTGGGGAAGGGTATAAGCAGAGTTTCTTTGGGAGTATTTGCGCACAAGTCATCCCATCGAGGCCTTGTCTGTGCATGGGTGGTTCGTGGACGACTTACACTGGCGGGCGTATCGACGAACGATGTCCTCTTCATCCACAAAGGGGACCTTGCATTCCTTGAAGTGCGAAACAGCCAGCTTATTCCTGAGGGGACTCGTTGAGAACGAAAACTGGCATCCTGGTGCTGGACATCGGAGGATGTAATATTGAAACCCTTCTCCGAGATCGTAAGGGAAAGCAAAGCTTGGGTTTTCGGAAACAGCCTTGGTCGCAACACTAGTCTTGATCACTCCTCCGCCTACGGGCTGGCTGCAATTCCCAGCAGGACGTTTCTGCTTTCGGGGAGTCTGCGGCAGGCTCCGGCTAGAAGGCTTGTTTTTTTCGACTCGAGCTGTTGGCAACTTGACTGTCTTTCCCTGGCGGGGGGTCCTGGTACGAGGAGAGGCTCTGCGATTCGTCGGTAGAGGCCTGCGTGAGGGCGTGGTTGGTCTGTTCTCGGAGGGATGGACGCCCGTGGATGTAGCCGTCTTCAAAACGTCAGCCGGGAAGTCGGGCAAGCGAAATGCCAGTTGGCAAAACTTACATCCTTTTGAGAATCCGCTGCTGGGGAAGCCATCTGGTCAAAGATCTTGTTCATATCAACCACAATAGGCTCCCAGGTGCCAGGCGGGGGCGTGTTAGTGAAGTTGATTGAAAAAGAGCCGCCCTGGGAGTAGTTGAATCCGGAGATGTAGGTTGGAAACTGGCAACTGATCCAGCTCTTGAGTCGTTCAAAGATGTCTGGGGGGCACTCTAGAGAGGCTCGGGTGAGATACCGCTCAAAGTTGTTCTTTCGATCATTCTCGTGGGCCTCGACAGTTTGTGTCAATATGCGTTTGAACTGGCGCTCCATCTCATCACGGAGGGTTTGGATCTGGGCCCCCAATCCTCGCTTTGCAAGTTCCAATTCTTCAATTGAACACTCCATCTTATGCCAGTAGAGAAGCCTAGGTTTCGTATCATTGTTGTTAGCAACGATCACACCGAGGGTTCTCGTGATAGTATTTGCCAGGTGCGGAGCTTACTTCTTGCCCAAGGCTAATTAAAGGAATGCTTGATGCTATTCCAGTGGAAGGATGAAAAAATAAAAGACGCAAGGAGAAAGCAGGCGAGTGGTGATGGTCACAACCCAGGGAGGGACTCCTCTCCAAGTCTGTTTGCATGCTTGAAACTGGATGATGTGGACGCAGACCCGGGTTCCCAGGCCAGCATTCAAGCTGTGAGCCTACATTAATGCTAGGGGTTGCGTCTTGACAAAGAAAACTGCAACTTGATTGGTGACACATGCTTGCTTGTGGAAGCAAACAATCGGAATGTCCGAGACCGGACGCATCCGAATGTGATATTAGTGAGTGAGTGAATACTCCCGGGCAATGCATGACGCATATCGTTTTGTTTGCTTCTGATCCCTGCGCAATTTGCACACTCTTCTCAACCATGATCCTCCTCTACCAGCAGGGCCCTCGCGATGCCGGTCGGTCTCGGCCCCGTTTGCGGACGCCATGTCGTTCGTTTGAGCAAGATGTGGACGCGTCCCGTCAATCTTTCTTCTCCGCGTCCTTGCGGTCTTCCCTGCACATACATGCCAGTTTTATCCTCTTGACTTACTCAAACCTCGAGAGCAAAAGGATTAGCGGTTCCAAGACAATTCAGGTCTATGCCTTGAACATACCTGAGAGTATATCCATTCCCGTAAAGAATGCCGCCATTCAGAAATTTTCCCAGGAAGCGCGTGTGAGTAGCTCAATTCGACCTGGGAATCTGATACTGACGCCTCGATGAGGACCCTGGCCATCGATTGGGGGAGCACCGCTATACGGCAGTCCATCTACTTCATGGACGAGCACCGATCCGAAATGATATCCAACCTCGAGGCGTCGAGCAAGTGCGACGAAACTCGATACCAGTCAGGCTCCTGGAGTGGGTACATCAACATCTCAGGTAACGGGCCCGTTTACACCGGCGACGACGTGCCAGCGGCCTTACAGATTCCGGCCAAGCTCGTTCTGGGCAATGGCAGAGGCATCGAAGAGAGCAACGCCTTGCTCACAGAGATCAATCGAAGACGAGGTAACGTCAACTTTGACAGAAGATGCCAGGAAGGTCTGGAAAAGATTGTCAAAGCGTTTTCTTCGCAAGTGCAAAAACGCTGCGAGAAGAGGAACGATCCTCTCGAGATCGTGGAAATCGGCTTGACCATCCCCGCTCACTGGACCCTCGAGGAGGAGGAATCGTACTCTGAACTCATCGGGAAGGTTTTCCCCAGGAAGTCTTGGAACAATCGTCTGAAGTACATCTACTTCATGACGGAGATCGAAGCATTCGCCCATTTCTTCTTCGACGATGCAGATGTTGTCGATCGATACATGGGGGATGAGCAAAACAACTACGTCATGTTCCTCGACTTCGGAGGCCACAGCATGGTAACTTGGGGACACACACATTCTCTCTATATACGGTCTACAACTTACTGATTCTCCACGATAGAATGGTTGCCTGTTCTACGTACGAAGGGCCGAGGAAAAGTTTGTGTTCATGCGAGTCGAGGCACCATTCGGTACGTCACATCAAGGTTGCCAAGTATTATCTTACGGGTAAATATTCCTTTTTGATGGCCTTTGGTTAACTAAATCACCATGCACAGGTGTCGTGGGTGGTAGTGCGCAATGGGAGGCCGCCGTCGGCGACTTCTGCACCAACAACGCCCTCTCAGGCTGGGGATCCAGGATTGTCGTCAATCCGGAAGTCCGAAACGGGTTCCAGAAGAGGTTCCGGGAAGAGATCAGAATGCATGAGTGCAACCGCTTCGAAGAGATTGAGCTGCGCATCAAGCCGCCCAGAGGATACGCCGCGGGCGCCGGCGATATGTGGACAACGATCAGCGCGCAACAGTCTGCCCAATTTTTCAGAGAGGCCATGGACAAACCGCTCAGGCGGGCAGAGACCGAAATCAAGGAGCTGGCCGCTTTCATGGGCCGTTATGCGGACGTGGGGGTAAAGGTCGTCGTCTCGGGAGGCACTGCCAAGAATGAGACTGTGCAGGGAAAGCTGAAAGGCTTCTGCCAAGACGTCGACCTCCCCCCGCCGATTTTCGTCCATCAGAACTTTGGTAGTAACGAGTATGGAATCTTCCGCTTGATTGCTTGATAGTCTACGAAAGAAACTCTACTGACCATGAGCAGGTCATTCAATATTGCCAAAGGCGCAGCATTGGCTACGGCACGTCGGATGACGCTAATGGAGTTTATGGAGAACGGTGCCGCTTTTGGCATTCAGATGCTGCGAGGCTCGGGGAACCCGGATCGACAATGGGACGAGAACGCATTTGTGGTCTTGGCTGACAAGGTGAGATGACCAACCGTGGAAAGAAAAGATGATTTGCAACAGGCTAAGCAAAACAGGGTCGTTCGTGGAAGAGTGGGCGTCCATATGAGGTCAAGCTTTCTGGCGCTGATAGACTCAAGATCATCTGCGATCCCTTCTGGACCTCAGGTCCAAGAGGGAAAAAGCTAAGCTGCAGCAGAACATACGACGTTCTCGACCTTCTTGTGCCTGAGAAGGGAACTTGGAAGCTCTCACTCTCCATGGGACCAGACGAGAGAAGTCTTGTGTTACAGCAATCGATGGTCCCGGAGAGCGGTCTTGGTGTAAGGCCACCCCGGTCAACCGTCTTGAAGATGGAATTTCGTCGATCTGAGGGTTGTTTCCTGGTTGAAGTCAACGAGGCAATCGAGTCGTTGCATGACGGTCTTGGCCTTAACGAAGACGGCACCTTTGTGGCTCTCACAAACGAGCTCGAGCAGGCCCTAAGAAGAACGATCGAGCAAAGGCTGGCCACTAGTATCAAAGACACCGTTGGACTCCGCCAGAATAAACGTCGCTTTGGTGATATGACCGGAAACAGTGCTCGCAGGCGCTCCATCGGGAAGACGAAACCGCAGTACACCCGTCTGCAGCCCATCAAAGGTCCGCCTGCTCGTCGCCGTCCCGAAAGGCCTCAACGAGATCTAGAGGAGGAAGAAGAAGAAGAAGAAATAGAGTTTCTCAACCCAGCGTCTGACTCTGAGAGTTACCATTCGGTGCCCACAACAAGAGAGTCGTCCATCAGCTTAGGAGCATTCACCCAGCTTTTAGGTGGCAAGGGACGGCTTCGACAGCAATTCTAAGCAAAGACGGACGGATGGCTTCCAGACTGTGCAAATAGAATTAAAACCAGTTCTTCATGTCAAAAAAGTTTATTGATTTCGTGTGGCTTGAACCGTCATCAGTGTTTTTCTAGCTCGAGAGCTGACATGTGTCGTTGCGTTGCGTCCTTAACAAGGTAGACAGTCTCACTTCTCAGCGAGTGGCTGTGACTGCGACCCAGAGCCCATCCATTATTACAATGTATTACAATGTATTACAACGATGTTCAATCCGGACCCTCGATTGGCTTTTCAGTTAGCGGAACTGAAGTGTTCATCCCACTGCATCCAGCACCGCAATGTCAGCAGCGTCCTTGGCGTACTCTCGGTTTCTCGAGCTGTCAGGTTTATTAACTTATCTCGGCTTTCCCTAGATTTAAGTGTGTCCGGTATCTAGGTGTGCGTTCAACGTGGTTTTACCTTTCAGGTCATAATCCAATACAACCGTCGTTTTCCCGCCTAACAAGATGGCATAGACTGTACCGCTCCCGTGGGACTTTAACATTGACTTGAATAACCAGCCAAAATATGCAACAATTAAAGAGTTAAAACAACGGTGTGTCCAACCGATTAGGTGCCGAGCTACCTGAGCGGCAGGCCTATGCCCCGTTGCACTCTTACATTGATTTATTCGGTTAAATGGTAAGATTGAAATACTATTCTGCACAGGCTTGACCCATCATATCACCCAAGGATGTGGATAACCTTGTACAAGTAGATTATTTCCAGCGGCATTGTAGTTTTGGGCTTTAGAGTACGACTGGGTGGCGCAAAAGTGATATAAATAGCTTCACATCTTCCCACGAAATATCCGACCTCTTCTTTAATTTTCACATATGTCCTGTCAATCATGTCTAGTCCCTCACCTTTACATCCCATCAACTTCAGTCCAGCCATGATGAACAGCCTTTCAGAGGAAACAGCACCCGTCGAGGCTCAGCCTCAGGAAGTTGAGCGGCTCTTTGCTTCTGTCCGCGCCGTCCTCGCCTCGGGGTCCGACAATGCAATCTTCACCATTGGAGGCACCGTGAAGGGCCTTGCTTCCGATTCCGAAGACGCCGCCGCACCTCAAGTCACGGTTCGTTGGGACTCGAGAGACCAGGCCCACGGTCGGAAGGCGGCTTTCCCAGTCCAGAAGACTGAAGAAGCCCAAGTCGCCTTCGCCCGCCTCGTCGACGACTGCCAGCCAGCTACATTCGGCCGCAACGAACAGGAGGTCCTTGACGAGACGTACCGGAAGGCGGGCAAGATGGACGAGACTGCGTTCAGTACAAACTTCAACCCGTAAGAGCACGGCATCATTGACACGGTCCTCCAGTCCCTGGCCCGCGTCGACAAGTCATCCAACGTCAACCGCGGTGTACGAGCCGAGCTGTACAAGCTGAACGTGCGTCCGCCTTGCGATGTTTCTTTGGCTACTCTCTCGAAGCTGACAGCGCCCCTTTAGATATACTCTGCTCCATCGGGCAAGTTCAAGCCCCATGTGGACACGCCCCGATCGGAACAGCAGATGGGTTCGTTGGTCGTGTGCCTCCCGCACCCGCACAAGGGCGGCCAGCTCGCCGTTCGACACCGAGACCAAGAGGTCGTATATGACTGGTCAGCCGACAGCCCTGCACGGATCCAATGGGCAGCCTTCTTCTCCGACTGCGAGCACGAAGTGCGAGAGGTCACCGAGGGGCATCGGGTCACTCTCACCTACAACCTGTACTGGACGCCGTACGGCCCGACTTCGATGGCAGATCAGAGCGTGGGTCTGGAGGAAGGATCCCTGCTCTTCTACTCATCTCTCGAAAGCTTTTACGCTGTCGGGATTTCCTTCCCAATGGTAAGCCCCGTTTCCCCACGATACTCCGGAGCTTACATGTAGCTTACATCGGCTACAGGAGGCCGGGTGGGCTTCACTTGTACTCACGCCTCCCCCCACTCGTCCGGATCGGGAGCCGAAGGCCTCCGTCACGGCCTCAAAGGTATTGACATGCTCCTATACCAAGCGCTGAAGCGTCTTGTTGGGGCCAACGCGGTCCTTATCCAGACAGCCCTCAATCTCAGCAACAGTTACTGCTACGGCGAAGAGTATCGCGAGAACCTTGCGGAAGCATTTGTCACGAAGCCGGGCTCTCCGATGGCGTACGAGTCCTGGGAAGAAGAAGAAGATATCAGAAAGTTCGGGCGCGAGACTGTGCATGTGACATGGCTCAACCACAAGCCCGATGGATCGGACAACCGGGAGCTCGCAATTACGTACATGGCGGTAAGATGGATTTAGAAACCCGAACCCCCCGGCCCCCCAACATCGCCTCCCGAGTAGCTTGGCTGATTGGTCTTCTCTAGTACGGAAACTAGCCATGCTTGTCATCGTTTTACTCCTCCATGGTCATCATGACAAACCTCGGAAGCTTGTCTGACGATGGCGGACGAAACGAGTTCCAGGGAGACGTCGAGAGCTTTTCCGACGACAACGACAACGAATGAACACACTCTGAAGGAGACTATCAAATGTACCCTTTCTGACAACGGCGGACGAAATCATTTTGAGGTAGAGGGGTGTTGGAGTCTCCGCAACCGTGGCGATCCAATCCTGTATCTGGGGGATGAATATCACAAAAAAGGAACGGAATTTTGCAGCTGACTGCGGATCAAAAAGCAACAAGGGACGAAGTGTTATGTAACAATTGGCAAAAAAAAGATGACAAATGGTATCATTGACATCGCAAAGGCAAACAATGTACAGAAGCAGCGCTGTAAGAGCGCCATGTGATCCAGACATGCGTGTTCAGCCTTGGAACAGATTCCCGAGGACCCCCTCCCTTCCTTCGCCGCAAGTTTTACGCCTTGAAAACTTCCATCGGTCCGTTTAGAGAGTATACATGAAATCGGGGCGCTCGTCGCCGGCAACCCACCTCTGCTCGTCCGTCATGGCAGCCCACTTTGCATCCATCTTGCCGGCCCTGCGGTTCCTGTTGGCGATCCGGAGGGCGACGTGCATGAAGATGGAGCCGCCGAGCAGGAAGAGGGCCTGGTAGCCCAAGACAACGGCGTGGCCGGTGAAGTACCGGGGGGCCTGGCGCTTGAGGTAGATGTTGGAGGAGACGACGCCGTTGAGGTTGCCCCAGCCGACGACCATGCCGAGCACGAAGGCGCGCTTGAGGGAGCCCTCGGTGTTGTTGATGACCCAGGAGAGGGTGTTGGAGATGGTCGGGTAGATGCCGGCGGCGCCGAGGAAGGTGCCGGCGTACTGGATCTGCGGGTCGCTGGACGCGAGGAGCAGGACGAAGCCCACGATCCCGATGGTGACGGTGGCGACGTTGCAGTACCCGCGCCACCGGGTGCGGTCGGCAACGACGCCGACGGTGACGGTGAGGGCGGCGGCGACGGCGTAGGGCGGGACGGAGAGCAGCTGGGCCTTGGTGCCCTTGTGGCCCATGGCGCCCAGGATGGTGGGCAGAAAGAGGGAGAAGGCGTACAGGGGGACGAGGCAGCCCATGTAGATGACCATGTATCCGTACGTCTTCCAGTCCTTGAGGGCGGCGTAGATGTGGCGCTTGTCAAAGTCCTCGGCGGTGCGGCCCTGCTTGTCGGCGATGAGGCGGCGCTGCACGCGGATGCGCTCGTCCTCGGTGAGGAAGCGGGCGTTCTCGGGCCAGTCGAAGACCATCCACCAGCAGAAGACGCCGACGAAGACGGTGGCCAGGCCCTCGATGATGAAGATCCAAGCCCAGCCGGGCCTGCCGCCGACGGTGTCCATCTTGGCGATGGCGGCGGCCAGCAGACCGCCGAACGAGCCGGCCAGGGCGGCGGCGGAGAAGAAGACGGCGGAGCGGACACCGATCTCGGAGCCCTTGTACCAGCAGGAGAGGTAGTAGTTGACACCTGGGCGGGAGGAGTTTTGTTTAGCACGGAAAAAAAACGAAGAAAAAAATCAGGGAAAAAACCCCCCCCCCCCAAGAAAACGTGCGCGTCTCTTTTTTCTTCTTGCAAATCACGACATACCAGGGAAGAGTCCGGCCTCGGCAATGCCGAGGAACCAACGAGCGGCGAGCAGACCGGAGAAGTTGGAGCACAGGCCCATGAGGGTCATGATGATGCCCCAGCAGACGATGATGCCGGTAAAGAAGATGCGGGGCGTCAGGCGCTTGAGGAGGGCGTTGGTCGCGGGCTCGAAGACGGCGTAGCTGATGAAGAAGATGGTGAGGGACAGGTTGTAGTCGGAGCCCTCCATGTGGAGGTCGGCCTCCATGCCGGCGAGACGGGCATTGCCGATGTTGGTCCGGTCGAGGAACGAGAGGAGGTACTATGACTCGATGTTAGTATGCCGTCAGCCGTGATATGCGCGCGCGCGCGCGCGCGCAGCCGTCGGCGAGGGTTGAGATGCGCCCCCGCGCGGAGGTATCTTTTGTCTTACAAGAAGAGAAAGCCAAGGGACAAGCCAGAGGTCAACCTTCCACATGAGCTTCTTGTCCTGAACACAAAAAAAGCAAAAAACGTTAGCAAAAAGAGTGGTTTTCTTTGGAGTTTCATAGTGGTGATGAAGGGCCATAAGGGCTGCCCTCTTCTCATCGGGAGGCACACGTACGATGGCGGCACGCTCCTCCAGCGTCTTGCCGGCGTCTGGGTCGGGCAGGTCGGCGAGCATCTGGGCCTGCTCGAGCTGCGAGTCTATGGGCTTCTCATCCGCCAAACTCTCGTTGACCTCCTGGTCATGCTTCTCGTTGTGAACCATGGCTACGGTATTGGGATTCTGCTAGCGTACGGGCGCGTGGGTGGTATGCGAGTGCGGGCGCGGGCGCGGGCGCAAGAGGCGTTGCTTTCCCGGGATGTTTGTTGGAACAGAAAGTTTGCTTGTCTACCTGGACAGGAACTCTTCTGTCGTCTTCGAGAGGAGCTGGGGCCGGGAAGGGGGGAGGACAGGCGGACAAGCGCAGTTTTGGTGCGTCGTACCGGCGAATTGGTCGGTGTATCAAAGGTCGTCTATGACCAATGCCGGAAAAACCTAAAAAGAGGACACAATGGGGAGGGGCAGAGAGCACTTGAGATGCGGTGGCACAGCGCGTAGAGGGTGAGTGATGGAGAGAGTGAGGGAGGGAGGATGGCTCGGGGGAAGAGGCTGAGAGATCGAGAGAGGGCGCTCACTGCTCCGAACACGCTTCAAAGAGCTTGAATAGGAGAGTCCAAGGCCGATGTGGGATGAAACCTTGAGAGCGGCCCGTCTTGTTTATAAATCCGACGAAAAAAGTTGGGATATTGGCGGCCCGTCTCACTCAACATGGGAAGAATCTGCCATGTCCAGGGGGGGGGGCTTCGTCCATGGCCGCCGAGATGCTACCATCGATCCACTCACACTTGCACTTCGTAGCCATTGCAAACCTTGATTAGGAGGATAAGATTCGCTGGTTTTCTCCAACCCACGCGGGCTACAATGGAGACCGCTTCGGAACAGGTAGACATCACCGTGCGGGCTTCCGAAGGGAGGGGGCACGGGGTACATCGTGCTTGGCACCGGGACCCTTGCTACCAGCCATACTTCGACGACATGGAACAGCAATAATTGCCCTTCGTTTTGGGAGGGGTGGGGGGCAGAGTGGGAGGAGACTGACAGTCAGACAGGGTCTCATCCGCGTCTGCAAGGCCTGCAGGGCTTGCTCTGGCTTGTTTGGGTCATGGTGCGTAATAGTTGTGCATGATGCAGCCAGCTTGATGGCGGCGGGCACCTGGACTGCATCTTGAAAGGAGCAAATAACAGGGGGAGGTGCTCGAGGCAATACAATAATATGTGGCTGGCGGCGCCGGTCTCGAGGTCCATCAGTTCGTGGAGTTGCATCCAGAGCAGAATCAACCATTTCCATTCCCCGCATGACCAGACAGACATTACTGCTCTCACCCACCAATCCTCCCACGCATGCCCAGCTCTTGGCACATACCATGAGCCACCCCGGCACTAATTCGTTGCTTGCCATTGGGTGGAGGGGCAAGATGGCAACGTGAGAGCGAATACCGGGGCGACTGATGGGTTGACTGGGGGAGGGGCTTTGGAAGAGACTAGGGTAGAAGACGGGGGCTACACTGATTGTGGATGGAGGCGACAAGAGGGGGAGAAGAAGAGCCGGGGAGGAGACGGAGGGGCGGAGAAGACCGCGCAAGCCTACGCGAGAGAGAATAACAAGAAGAAGAAGAGGAAGAAGAAGAAGAAGAAGAAGAAGAAGAAAAGGCCGTCCGCTAAACCTCTGTTTGTGGCCCAGACTTGACGTACAAGTTTGTTTCATGACTCGTGTCGTGCATGTCTCAACCCTCTCTCTCGTCTGTTAACTCAGCCAGGAGAAGAGACAGACACACGCGCTTACGCTGGCGCTACCATAGTGAGTAAGTAAGTAAGCATAAACATCAACACTACGGCCGCGTCCTAGGTGTTAGCTAGCTGGCCAGCCGCCGCCCCACGGATCATCGCTCGATGGATGACCCGTTGGGCTGGATCTGTCTCCGGTGCAGTGCTCCCAATGCAAAGGAGGGATATACAATAGAAGGCCAAGCTCGAGAGGCGCGGAATGTTCCAATCTCGGAATCGCCCGTTGGCTCCTCGAGGATATGCGTACCCGGCTGGACTGAGCGCCGAGTTTTGGGTTCTAGCCACCCGCGCAACAAAGACAGATTCTGAGGACTCTCTCGTGCGGGTACAGCGCGGACAAGTTTCGAAAAGCTTCTTACCTACGTTTCCAACGCCAACTTCGCTCCCTCTCGTACTGATTGATACCCGATTCATCATCACAGCGTCATCCCCGGCCCCCCCGTCCCCCCCTCTCACGGCGCTCACCTCCGCTCGTTCGTTCTGAATCTGCGGCGGTGTCCAGGGCGGAATAAGCATAAGGACGGAAGACAGACTGTTCGGAGTGTGAGCGAGACGGAGTTGGCCTGTAAGGACAGGGATCCCACGCCACCTCCAACCGCCCGTCCAGACCAAGGCCACAGACACACCAAAGTGCCCCTCCACGGCCCCCCCCCTCTGTTTTGTCTCCTCTCCTCAGTCTTCTCCTCTTCTCCGTCCCCCGCAATCCTCTTTCTAGGCACTTCCCCGCACGACGAGCGAGCGTGGAGTCGAGAGGAGGAAGAGTTGGCGGTGGAGGCGGGCGGACTTCTCCCCGTTCTGGTGCGCCGCCCCCGTAGGAGCCGAGGCGGCCGCGGGCAACTGACCGGGGTTGACGCTTTTCGAAGTCGGCCTAGTTCGTGCTTGGCTCTGTCTTGGAACCGAAAGGGAGCTTGACGAAGAGACAAGTTGCCAACACGAGCCTTTCCCCCGACCGGGCGGAAGGTCAGTGGAGTGGCCGCCAGGCTCTTCGTTCGTCCGGCGCAATGTCGGGGAGAAGCCGCGGTTTCCCCTCGTCGGAAACATCACAAGAGGGACGACGAGATAAGCTTTGTCGCCATTGACAGTGTGGGCTCAACACGAGAACGTGGCTCTGGAACTAGTGCAGCCACCGTGGAACACGGGCTTTCTTCCAAGCTGTTCTCCGTTGCGCCCCTTTGGTTCTTTCGCCTGGGTCTCTTGGTCTCGTGGGGCAGGGAACCTTTGGATCGAGTCTGGATCGAGTCTGGATCGTGCTTTGTGAAAAATATCTTTTCTCCCGGACTTTGACGCCGGCATTAACCCATATCCTACCAGGAACGCAAAACCGGCAACTGGGAAACACCCGGTCACCACGTTTTTGAATCATTCAGTGTAAACCCCCGCCGGGGGGCAGTTGTTGCATGCATGCCATGCATGATCCCTTGCCCTGGCGACGGCTCAAGAAGGATTCTCGATGATCTACGGGGGGAGGGGGTTGCCACTTGAGAAACCGGTCATATTCCAAACGAATGGTTTTGTGCAGTCAGTTGAACCCCCCGGAAAGCTTCGATATCACCAAACCGACAGCCACTTGCCGTGCTTCCATCGTAATCCCCTAGCGCCGGCGTTGGCCGATGCGCCTCCTCTCCCAAGTCCCTCAGCGACGCAAGCCTCTCCCAGCCTGCCCCGAATCGCGCGACGGCTGCCATCCGCATGCGACGACGGGCCAATCAGGCTATTTGAGGCATCCCGGACGAGGCGAAACCCTATTTGAACGGCCCCGAGACAGGTGCGCTGTAAGCCGACCTTCGGGTGTGTGTATGTGTGTGTGTGTGTGTGTGTGTGTGTGTGTGTGTGTGTGTGTGTGTGTGTGTGTGTGTGGCAGCACGCCTCATGTTCGATCAGTCCATGTCATGTAGGGAAACGGAACAATGGTTTCACGGCGTCTGTCGACACTGAAAACGCGTTCCATCGGTGATTCTATCGGAACGAGCATCTGCTTCCATGCGGCGGTGCGTCAGCCTGTAACCCTGAAGGAGACAACTTCTGACACACATACACACACACACACACACACACACACCAATCTCATCACCGCAGGCCAAATCAAGTAAGCGGGATGTGAGAAGATGCCTGCGACATTCCGCGACACCCGGCGTTGACTGGTCGTGAGGGAACCCAAAGTCTATCCATCAAAGTCCGAGACCAGCACATGGCTCGCAGTGCAACCCGGCAATCACCTCCACGTTTGCCCGTCAACCGTCACTGAGGGGATTTCTGTCATTCCGTGCCTGTCATTGGGGGGTTCTATCCGCCGCCCAGGCTATGTCGCTTCATCTGCCAGCGTTCTCTCGTACGAAAAAGCGTGCGCATCAGCACCCCCTCCCGTCCTCGTCGAATCATCTTGTCCGCCGGTGCGGGATTCTTCCAATATATCATTTCTTCCATGCGGTCTTTTCATGAAAATACTGCCCGTTCTAGCAGGTAACACAAACTGAGGCGTGCATATCCATTTATGCCCCCCTGCCCCTCCCCCCCTGCCCCTCCCCCCCTGCTCCCGTATGCAAGCAGAGAGGCAAATGGGCCGGTTGTTTGTTACTCCTCCAAGGAAGAACCAACAGGTTCTCGCCGTGAGATTGGAGACATGACCGGCACTTCCGTGATTGGCATCTCTCAAGGTTCCGGCCGGGCCCGGTGTCTGCAGACCCCTCCCCCGACCCCCCGTCCCGGCCGTTGTCCCAACATTGGCAATATTGTGCGATGGTGCAGCACCGCAGAAAACGTGGTGTTTGCTTGTTTGGCATGCACACGCCTGCAGCCCCCGGTGCCTGCTGTGGCCCTCGTCTACTCTCTCCCCCCCCTTCACCGTTGTCTATCATCATCCGGCTGGTTAATACTTCACTTGAGGCGCAGAGAGGCGAAGATGCCTTGGAGCGAGATAGAACCCCGATGTCCCTGATGATGGGCCGAGCTTAATACAATGAACCACCACAGCGGCGGGAGCAAACATGAGAAAAGATCTGCCTGGAGGGAAATGCAGGCCAACAGGGCAGAGAGGGGGGGGGGGGGCTAGGGATTGACCCGAACGCTCGAATGCCTTCTTTGTTTGCTCGAGGATGACTTCTTTCGTACGCCAAGTATATCGGGACAGGAAAGGCCCGAATCCCAAACCCAAGGGTCTGTAGCTCGGGAGGGGGCGGCGGCGGCGATGCAGGAACGGCAACGTGGAAATTAATCAAGGGTGAAGCTCCTTTCCCGTCGTTCCGCGGTCTATTTCAGGCAAGCAAACAGTACGGATAGTATTCAATATCCACTCGGTACTTCCCTTACTTAGACCAACTGTTGGCACCTTTCGTCTCCCACGCCGTTGGATGCCCTTCCTCCGTGGTCCACCAAGTGGCACAACCCTTTTGCCGTAACTATCGACGAGTGGTGAGAGGCTCGCCCTCGCCATGCGGGGGGGTTGTCTCCGAGTCCCTTGTCCTAATATTCGAACCGAGGTCTCGAGAGCCAAATGACAATACCAAGGCCCACAGCTCCAGTCGACATGCTAGCCGCCGTCAACGGGCGCCGTAGATTAAACTATGCGGCATGCAGGGGAAGATAATTCCAGAAGCGAAATATCCACACATTGCCAAGGAAGCCGTGCTGGAAGAAAAGAAGAAAAAGAAGAAGAATGCCATGCAGCGATATTCGTAGGCTTGGGGATTATATCTCAGCATACAGCGCCGAGGCGGCATCGGGCTATGTCGTCTACGCGCCAGAAAGAACAGTCCGTCGTTCCCACACACATACGCCCGGCTAATGCGTCTGAGCTCTGCTCTGGAGAAGATTCCCTTTCGCACCTGCGACGCTGGAAGGGCAACAGTCGAGCTCCCGAGAACTAACCACCACGCGACAGGTCTAGCTAGCCCCTATCGTCCCCCTTTGTTCCTGGGCTGGCCAAGTATTAATGAGTGACATTGGGTGACCGCGAGATATATTGACGGGTATGACGTGGTGGTCCAGCATGCAACAACGATCACATATTATGAAGGACGACGCTGCGTAAGCTGCGATGGCAAAATCCAAGCGCAGCGCCGGGACATTTTGCCCTTTGTAGAGCCACGTCACATCAGCCTTACATGTGCATCAGAAGCAAACAGCACCTGCTGAGCCCGGCATCGTTGAGTCATATCGTCTCTTTGAAACACCACATGGAGGCTTTTGGAGCTGGGCTTTCGGACTGGCCCGGCTGTACACAAGTCGACCGATCAGCGGCGACCTGGCATCGCAGCTCGAGCAAGAAGTGACTCGAAAGCTCAGACGAGGGTTGTTGTATAGGTTTGGCCGGAGATAAGAAGACCAACAAAAAGTACGGATTGGCCAGGTCGTTCCGGACTAGCCAGCTCGACCCAGTCATAACCCGAACCCTGCTTCGCATGACGGTCTGCCATCCCGTTTCCAAGGCCGTCGTCCCGGAAATGCCCCGGGTACAACACCTCTCCGATCACGGTCTCGATCCACTTGCCAATTCCCGTGAGGTGCGTCTCTGCTTATCGCCTGGGATCCAGTCGAGCTCATGCGGTTTGCCTCCCACCCATCAAGGAAAACGGGACGGCCCATCTCGGATAGCCGTTACCGGAGACCTCTACCCATTAAGTCTTTCTTTCTTTCCGAACCGGCAACGAATGTGTTTCGCCGACTTTCTGGGTCTGTGTGAATAGAGGGAGGACCCGTCTTATCTCGGCAAGTTTCTCTTATAGACCGACGAGCGTGGGGGTGACGCGGCTCGCGGACTGGATGTTTAAGTATTCCATTCTTTTCTCATTCTTAATCTCGCCCTCCCCTCCCTCTACCACTGAAGTCGAAAAAAAGTTTTAGCCTCCAATGGTGCCTCGACATCTGACCCCGTCAATGGCCGAACCCAAGCCCGAAATCCAGTACGCCGGAGCCGGAGCCGGCGACCCCCAGGTGCCGGCATCCGCTCCCGCTCCCGGCCCGGAACCTCTCACCACCCCGGTCGGGGACGCCGCCGCCGTCGAGCCTTACAGCGTCTTCACGCGCACCGAGAAGTGGTTCATCGTCGGCATGGTCGCCGTCGCGGGTTTCTACAGGCACGCGTCCACCGCCCTTCGTCCAGTCTCCCCCCCACCCTCTGTCCTCTACTCGCTAACACGCCAGACGCAGCCCGCTGCCGGCCAACATCTACCTCCCCGCCATCCCGAAGCTCTCCGAGGCCTTTGGCCGCTCGGTCGATGACCTCAACCTGACCGTGACGGCTTTCCTCGCGATGCAGGGCCTGTGTGAGTGTCGAACCAAAAACAACATGGCGAGAACGCATCTTGGTGATGTGACCATGCCCGCTGACAATAAGTTTCCCCCTTTTGGATAGCCCCGATGCTCTGGGCCCCCCTGTCCGATCGCCATGGAAGGCGGCCCGTTTTCCTGGTATGCCTGGCCGTGCTGATCGGGGCCTGCGTCGGCATTGCCGTCATCCCCACCGACGCCTTCTGGCTCCTGATCGTCCTCCGCTGCCTGCAGGCGGCAGGTTGTGCCAGCACGATCGCGCTGGGTAAGGGCTCACACACACACACACACACACACACACACACACACACATGCCCCGTCACCGGAGTCATACGCAATACGCATGTCAAACCAACAGCGCTGACACGGAAGACAGGCGCCGGCGTCATTGGCGATATCTCGACACCCGAGGAGAGGGGTGGCTTCTTTGGCATGTTCAATGTCGGCCCGATGGTGAGCTCCCCCCTTCCCCCTCTCGCACTCGCATCTTCTTTCGCCTGATGGATAAGACTGCGGTCACTGTGGGGGAACTGGCTGACATAGTCCAACAGTTCTCACCGTGTATAGCCCCCGCCGTCGGCGGCGCGCTGGCCGATAAGCTCGGGTGGCGGTCCATCTTCTGGCTCCTCGTCATCATGGCCGTCTGCTGCCTCCTCTTCATCCTCCTGTACGTCTGTCCCAAACGCACCCCCCCCCCGGGTCTCGCGTGCGGTACGTTCGTCCTCTTACCGCTGCATCAGGTTCCTCCCCGAGACCCTCCGAAGCCTTGTCGGCAACGGCAGCGTCTCCCCGGGCGGCGTGTACATGCCCCTCGTCCCCGTCGTCGGCCGGTCCCGGCGCAGAGACCGAACGCCGGCCCGCTCGAAAGCAGCCGGCGCCGCCAGGCCTTCCGCCAACCCTTTCGTCATCCTGGTGTACCCGGACGTCGCCATCACGCTGGTCTTCACGGGGGTCGTGTACGCCGTCAACAACACTGTCGTCACGACCGTCGCGTCCTCCTTCGCCAGGGTCTACCCCTGGCTGTCCGAGACGGCGCTCGGCCTGTGCTACCTGCCCACGGGGCTCGGCATGGTCGTCGGTGGCACGCTGACCGGCAAGGTCCTCGACTGGGAATACGCGCGCATCAAGAGGCGGGTCGAGGCCTCGGGCGGCGACGGCAGCGGTGTCCTCTTCCCAAAGGAGTACGCCCGCCTAAGGACAATGCCGGTCCTCCTCCTGCTCTTCTCCGGAGCCGTCGTCGCTTGGGGCTTCTGCGTCGACAGGGGCGTGCACATTGCCGTCCCGTTGGTGCTCCAAGTCGTGTGTAAGTATCCAATCCCCCCTCCCCGAAAGTAGTGACGAGTATAGTATCGGGCCCGGAACGGGACAGCTGACCCCGGGTCTCAGTGGGATACACCTCCATAGCCATTCTCAACACGACCATGACGTTGATGATTGACATTTTGCAGACGAGAAGCTCTGCAGCGACGGCGTGTGTAAGTCCAAAGAATTCTCTTCGCGCACTGGCTTAGAATCGCACGTTCTGATCGTCCCGTTGTAGACCAACCTCGTGAGGTGTCTGCTTGCGGCGCTGTTGGTAGGTTTGATTGACAAGATGACCTCGGCTCTACGCATAAGCTGGTCGTATGTCCTGCTGGGCGGAGTCTGCGCCCTCCTACTACCGCTCATGTATATCGAGATGAAGTTCGGACCAAAGTGGAGGCTGGAGCGGGATCTGAAATCTGTGGATGAGTGAGCACCTACACTTTCAACCTTGCCTGAATAAAGCGAAATTGCAACGCTTTCGTTGATAAAACTGTGTTAGCTACAGAACATTCGGCCGTTTCATCAAGTGCTCCATCCTGTTTCCCTCCCTCTTGAAATATTGGTATAATGCCGCCAAAACAATCCTCATGAACAAACACGCATACGCAAACAACTCCCTTTACCGATACACAGCGTTGCTCCATCTTGGTCCGCATTGATTCGGAGTCTCGCGAACACCATGTCGGGCGTGGTCCCTACGAAGCCTTTTCGACTGCAGCAAACGCCTCTGCGAAACCAGGCTCCTTCCTGGTCTCGGCCCATATCCTCTCCTTGAGCCCAGTTCCCTCAGAGGTGTACATGACCGACGGCCACCTGCCCACCCGTTAGCATCCGAAACGACAGCCTTTCATAATTCACACAAAGACGACAAGACTTACGGCTTGATCACACCGTCCGACGTGAAGCTTCCATGACTTTCTTTGCCCTTGACGATGGCGGCGTCGAGGTAGCTCCGGGCGCCCACCTCGACGCTGCGCCCCAGCGTCCTCTTGACCAGGCCCGTGAAGAAGCTCTCGCTTGCGGGCTTGACAATGCTGGTGCCGCCCGTGAGACCGGAGCTGGACAGGTTGACGATTACCTCGTTGGGGTCGAGAAAGGTGGCGAGCTTGGCGACGAAGAGCTGGCCGAGGAACTTGGACTGTTGGTAGTTCTTATCCGACTCCCAGAGCCTCTGGCTGTCGGCGGGCTTGAACATGGACCCCGTCACCATGTCCTCCTCGGGGGTGTGCCAGTAGGACAAGTCGGAGCTGACGAGGACTAGACGCGCGGGCTCACCCTTGGGCCGCTTCTCCTTCATGGCGGGCAGCAGGAGGAGGGCGAGCAGGACGGTCGACAGGTAGTTGACCTGCAACATCAGCTCATGGCCCTCACGGGCGCGGATGTACGACTGGGCGACGACGGCGGCGTTGAGGATGACGATGTCGATGCGCGAGAGTTCCTTTTTGCAGCGGGCGGCGAAGTCCCGCACACTCTCGTACGACTCCATCTCGAGGTGCCAGACCTGGATCTGGGCCATGGGGAACTCCCTACGCAGGCCCTCGGCAAGGGCCTCGCCCTTTGCCGTGTTCCGGACGCCCATAATGAGGCGGCCGAGCGAGCGCTCCAGGAATTGGCGGCTGGCTTCCAGTCCGAGGCCACTGCTGGCGCCGGTCATGATGAGAGTGCAGTCGGAGAGATCGAACTCCTCCGGGATCTCGGCCGGGGTGACGACAGCCTGGCGGTAGAGAAACGAGAGCGGGTTAGCTTCCCAGACGGCCTGGCTGGCCAGATCGTTTGACATGTCGGGCGATTGCAATAGGATTCACACACAACAGCTACTCTGGCTACTTTGGGTGGGATTGATCCTAGAGATGCCGTATAACGACGGGGCACCGTTGACGGATGATATAGTCGTCCAATTAGTCGGGCAAAAATGTGGAGATGGAAACATCAAACGGCGATCGTCAAGTTGCCCAGGCCCCTGGTCGCAACATTCTGTTTGTATGTAAGGCTGGAGGGGGAAGCAGGGGCGGGGGGGCGATCCGGCAGTTTTGATGTCATGAGGCGGGCAAAAGTGTCGCAGAAACATTTGACTTTGGACCGGGATTCCCCCACGGGGGGCGCTGTGTGCATCGAGGACCGAGCGGCCGAGGTTGAGACGCACCAGTGCCTCCGGGCGGACCGGGGGGGAAGGACGACAATATTGTCGGCCTTGGGATTAGACGCTCAGGTTATCGAGTGCTGCCGACGAGTGCAACGCCGAGCGCGGCGCACATCACATCGCATCGCATCGCATCGCATCGCGACAATGTGTTGGACTTGGCACATCAGGAGGTGTTTCGTCAAAAAGACGGACCACATATGGCATCAAGGGGGGTTTGTTGGTAGGGGTCCACGACGATCAGTGTGAGAGGTCTAAGAAAAGAAGCAGATGTGTTAGTCAGCATTCGATGGTTGGGAGGAACATATTATATTTAGCACAGCACACGGGAGGATGGACGAACCTACCGTACCTAAGAGTTGAGTAGAGTAGGGATGGGATGGAATGGGATGGAATGGGATACTGTTGGCATTGGCAGAGACGATTGATCATCCAGCCACTCTCTGCATCGCTCGAGGGAGTGACGTTTTCTGTCGGGTGTTGTTGTTTCAATGGGTGTGATGCGACGAGTCAGTCAGGGCGTTGAGGTAAACGTATAGATAGATGGAGTAGGGAGAAAGGGAGAGAAACGGAGAGAGAGAGAGAGAGAGAGAGAGGAGCACACACCGGTGTCACACCTTGTCTACACCGAGGGTGATGCTCGGTGAGAAGGGGCCAGAATCCCGAGGTGAAGACCTGCTGAGTCAGTTTCACATGCTGAGTCAGCTGGAGAGGGGCACTAGGCGACCTATTAGCGACATTCAATGGTGTACAGGTACTGCAACGTGTTTTTTAGGTGGAGGGGTACCTGAATAGGTGGGGGTCGCGAGACGGGCGAGTCGAGACTCGACTTCGTTTCGCCTTTTCTGTCGAGACAGAAAGAAAGACAGACAGACAGACAGACGCTCGCTCTCCCTTTTTTCCATACCACACCACTCACCGAGGATACACCACCATCGATTCCGGCCTCGGTTCCCTCTCTTCGCCTCTCTTCCGGCCGAAACGCTCCCTGCACCGACAAGAGGGAGACTCCGACCCTTCCGTCCCTCTCCGTCCCTCTCTCTCTCTCTCCCCTCGCGCATATACTCGCCGCTCTTTGTCTCCACTCACGAGAGGACCCCTCCCCCTCTCGCTGTCCCGTCCCGAACTCCCGGCCCTCCACCGCCGCTACCACGCCCGTACACATATCCAGGCACACACAATGTCCGGCCTCGACGCGCCCGAGATCGCCGCGGCTTACGACGCCGTCCGCTCCGACAAGGACGAGACCAACTGGCTCCTCATCTCGTACGCCAGCGCCGTCGGCAACAAGCTGACCCTCACCAAGACGGGCACCGGCGGCCTCGCCGAGCTGGCCAAGGAGCTCGACGACTCACAGGTCCAGTACGCCTACGTGCGCGTCGAATACGCCAACGACGCCGAGAGCAAGCGCGTCAAGTTCGCCTTCGTCATCTGGATCGGCGAGTCCACAAAGATCATGCGCAAGGCCCGCGTCAGCATCGAGAGCAGCGAGGTCAAGAGGGTTCTGCCCCACCACAGCATCACCGTCAACGCCAGCGACAAGGCCGACCTCGACGAGGACGACATCGTCAAGCGGTTACGCAAGGCCGGCGGCGCCGACTACAACGGCGGCCGCGGTTAGACGGCCCGCCCGGGTCCTGCCGTCCGTCCTTCCGTCACCGCCTCCCGACGTTGCACAATTGGGCAAACCACGGGAGAGAGACATATAAATAAATGAATCAAAGCAAAAAAGAGAGGGAGAAAGCAGGAACAGACGGCGGTGAGCTTACAATTCGTTGTAGCACGGCGGCATTCGAGCAACGAGCTCTTATCACGGCATCTGGCCGGCCAGAGGCGCTTGGGGGGGAGCGAAACATGCATACACCTTTTTATAAATACAGCATACATTTTGGATCAATATATTCGCGCCCGTCTTGGGCACTTGGCGCAAGCTGAGCTCACCGAGGCAGCCTATCATACAGGCGTCTGTCCGCTTCAATCGCACCGAGGCTTCTGCGAAGCACTCTTTCTTGATTCGTCCATACAATGTCGGTTGTACGGCGGCGGTTCATCTGTACTCAAGAAGATCATTGCATCTCATAGGGTAGGTTGAGAGGAGCATTATTTCTTCTAAAAGTAAGGATATCGTCACTTGTGTTTTGCTAAACATTCCAAAAAGCCGGTCCTTGAAAAATGGCCACATAAGACTAGACAACAGATATTCCGGACAGCAACGATGCGTACAAGTTCTCAAGGCAGATACAACCATGAGTAACAATTCCTTCATGCTTTCAAGGGCCATTGATCACTCCGCCCTGTTGATGCTGATGCACACAGTCCCAACGAACTCGTCACCACGTAGGCCTTTCCACTACGCCGTATCATCCAGAGAAGTCAACCCATACAGCAAAACGTTCAACCAGAGGGTCCCCTATCACAAGGCTGTGAGCCAATTGTACAGTACACCGCAAGTGTTAGCTGGCAACGTGTGTAAGATTGTTCATCTACAGAGAAGAAGGGCAATTTCAATCGTTACAGATGATTTCACCCTGTATCATAGACCCGACCTGACGCTTCATCCGTTCTCCATGCATGTGCAGCAAACTCCCCCGAGTGGAGAATTCCCTTGGAAGCCTACGATAGTATGTGTCTCTGTTAAACGCCATGGTTTCTGCGATACCCCCGATGTTTCCCTCCCGGAAGACTTGAAACCCGGTTTGTCCCTTCGCCCCGTCACCACCGAGTAGTTCCTTGCCTCATGACCGACCATCACTTCGCTTTTCCCTCACATGCTTGCCTGAAGTTTCCCACCGTCAAGCAAGGGGATGAAGAAAACAAAGAAACCTGTTGACCGCCGCCCATCGCTTAAGCTGGTTGATTACATTCATCACTCCTCTCTCCATTGTCTCAGGGGAATATGATGTTTGCTCCCACCCTCCTTCTCGCTGCCTTTCTCTTCATCAGCACTGGCATCGTCCATGTCTGCGATGATTTATTACTCGCGTTTCACCACCAACCTTCTTCAGGTTCTGGCTCCTGCGCCCCTCCACTCTTGTCTTACTCCGCCGTATATCGCCAGACTCCCACATCCCATAAATTGTCTACACGAGACCAGAGCAAGCGTCGAGATGGGCACCCGCACGCCTTCGTTGAAGGCCTTGCTCCGCGGTGTACTCCGTCTCATCGTCTTCGCCTACTTGATCGAGACCAGCCAGGCTCGACGTAGAGGTGACCGTCCACCGTAGACATGATTCGGTTTAGCCATCTGACTGTTTGCATCTCATCCCAGATCCCAAGAAGCGAGACGAAAGGTCTCAAGCTCTGAGTCCTCCCGTCGCCACCGACTGGACAACACTCTCGCTTTCAGCCTCCGAACCTAGAGGAGGACGGGTCGTCACCAGCATCATCACCACCCATATCCTCGTCACCCTGTCATACGATGCCTCAGAACTCCCTTCTTCTCTTACGCACCAGCCTGTGACTTCTTCTACCTTGCATAGCTTCACCACGACCAGAGACCCTGCGAATAGTCACAAACAGTCCTGGAACACGACTAATATCAACACTGTCGGTTCTTCCAGCCTTATAAAACAGAGCGCCTCCATCGGCGACTCTGCTAGCACAACCCGCATCTTTAATGGAACTACCACAGCCATCAATAATGGGGTCTCGACTACCGCCTCGAACGGGAACAGTTCCACGTTGCCCCACGCTTACACTTCCACTTTTCCCGGAGGGAACACCACCGTTGCGGCACCCATCATCCCGGTCTTCCCGGGCAGCTCATCTTTCACCTCACTCCAGGCAAACAGGTCGACTGGGGTATGGAGCACCTCCCTCAGTGTCACCAACGGGGGCGCTCCCTCTTCGTCTCCTCTCAACTCTACGCAGGGAGGCCTGTCAAAGAGCGGAGAGAATGAGTCCTTCACTTCCGCCATGCAGGCATCTTTGTCCGAAGGTGGTACAGCCCAGACCTCTCGTGTCACCACAACCCCTGGTCAAGCCGCAACCTCAAGCGCCAATTCTCAGGCAGTCGGACTCCCCTCTGGCAGCACCCAAGTGACGGGAAAGGACTCGTTCTTTTCTTCCGCCACCGCTGAAGATTCGACCATTGCCGACCTGCCTCCCACATCTGTCTCCGGTTCTCATGGTACTGATCACGATGTGCGAACCCCGTCCATGTCCCTTTCCATGTCTGGCGGAGCAAGTACCCATGCGCCACCAACGACTACCACTGGCGAAGGTCGACAGTCGTCCAAGTCTTCCGAGGGTTCAGAAGTCCACGAAGGCAAGTCAACAAAGACCCCGGAAGACAACGACGAGAAGAAGTCAACCACGGCCTCTCCTGGTAGCACACGGATCAGTGGTGCAACGTCGAGCAGCACAGCCTCACCTACTGGACAGTCTGTGACTCCGACATCGACTGCTGGGCCCGGAAGCAGTCATTCAAGCGGCCCTATCTCTACGGCCTTGTCCACCTCGTCCGATACCATAGAGTATGCCACCGTTCTCATGCTCGCCACATCAAAACCCCCCGAAGGTATCGACTCCAAGACCACCGTCACCTGGACTTCCACCGAGGTCACCAAGACAACGACCCGCGATGGCATCGCCTGGCCCACAATCTTTCCTGCGTGGTCCTGCGGCGGCGGGCAGCTGCTCTGCGCGCCCAAGTGTCTAATCCCCTTCCTCTCCTGCGGCGGCCTGAACCTCCCAGGGCCTCGTGGGTTTCCCTGGGCCAAGGTATACTTTACTTTCCAGAAGATGCCCTCGGACCGCTTCAGACTAACGCGGCCGTACAGCCTCCAACACACAACCCAAGGGGTAAGCCTCGCAAGGTCAGGCCTGATGACCCTACCGACCCCGAGGAGCCGAAAGACGAACCTGAGGAGAGCCCAACGTCCGCGACTTCATCGGAGGCCTCCTGCACCGCGACCACAACCGTCTCGCCCAACTGTAACCAGCACTGCTTCGTCAGGCCCGTGACAACTTCCGGGTCGACGACAAGCTTCACCACCACCTGCAACACGGCCACCTGCAAGCCGACCGTCGTCTGCAGCAAGACCCTCGACACGACGACGACGACGACGACCTTCACCACGCACTCGGCCACGCCGACCCCGGCGGAGCACTTCTGCGGCGACCGAGAATCGCCGTGCCTGAACTGCGCAGCCAAACCGGGAGGCAAAGGCCTCGTCGCCCGCCAGCACGGCTTCATCCCCTGGAACCCCGCCCCGGACCCCGGCCTCCTCGACGGGCCCAGAGGCCTCACGCGCCCCGACGACTGGCCCGAGGGCCCCCAGAACTGGTGGGACCGCATGTGGAGGTACGTCTACCACTACTGTGACGGCCTCACGGCGCCGCGCCTCACCCTGGACGGCGAGCGCCTCGAGATGGGCTACTCGACCATGCACGCCGACGTCTTCGGGGACCGGCCGCTCGCCGGCGCCACCGGGCCCTTTTGGGGCTGCAGCGGCGTCATCATCGTCACCAAAAGGGGCATCTACACGAGCCACGTGTGGGAGATACCCAACTTCCACAAGGGCACCCACAAGCCCACGGCCTTCGACTGGGACGCCGAGTTCGACGAGGGCATCCTGCAGTTCCTCAAGCGAGGGTCCGGCGACCGCATCGGCGGCTACAAGGGCATCGAGCAGCTGCGGCGCGAGACCGACATCTTTGACAACGTCGCCGAGGACACGCTGGCCGTCATCCTCCACGTGCCCTCCTCCATGGCCTTCACGGGCACCTCCCAGATCCCCCCCAACTACGGCGACTTCGACCCCAGGCACGCCCGGCTCGTGGGCCGGTGGGTCGACTTCATCGCCGACGACCTCGGCTTCCCGCGGGACAAGATCCGGAAGAACATCTACGTCAAGGGGCCCTCGTACTGGCCGGCCTACGCCCAGGAGAGGAACCCCCTGAGCCCCATGGACATGTACTCGCCGCCCTACGGCCTCCTGCACTGGCAGTACCACCCGGCCCACGTCGTCTCGACGACGGCCGACGGCGCCGAGGTCCGCAAGCCCACGATCCGCGTCTGGTACGAGAAGTTCCTGGTCTTTGAGGAGTCTTGGTGTCCCCCGGGTGCCGTGGCGGCTCGGGACAACGAGCACGCCGGATCGTGCCCGATGCCTTCTGCCCCGGGGCAGTCCTCACCCGCGGCTTCGGGTGGTTCGGTCGCCGCTTCAGGATCCGTTTCTGCGCCCGCTTCGAGATCTGTTTCTGCGTCCGCTTCGGCTTCCATCCCCACCTCCGCCTCCAGTGGTCGAGGGCCGGCTTCTGCTTCTGCGGAGAGTCGCCCAGGGTCTTCATCTACCCCATCTCGTGCAGGTGCCCCTGGGACCAGAGCCGCGAGCAACGGTGCCTCCATGAGTGCATCCCCGAGTACATCTTCGATCCGTTCATCTACCTCATCTTCCCTGCAGGCAAAGACATCTTCGCCCAAGCCCAAGGTCACAGTCTGGCGTACGGTCACTCCTATCGTAACAATCACTCCTAAAGTAACAATCACTCCTAGAGTAACAGTCACCAGCCGGACCAAGCCCACCTCGACCGCACCAGCAGATGACCCTGAATTCGAGCCAGGCATCCCGGATATACCCAGAATCGTATTCGCTAGGAGGTCCAACCCCCTCCCCGGCTCCGACCCCGGCCACGCCCCTTCAAGGCGTCTTGTTCAAATTTCCCAGCAAATGGCCTTCGGCGGCGACAAGGCCCACCACACAGCCGTCGTCACCGTCTACGACATTTCCGGGAACAGCGAGACGATCCTCGTCAGCGAGCGCGACAGCAAGAATGGAGGGCCTGTCGACCTGCCCCGCGTTTTGACGGTTGAGGACCGGTACGGCGGCAGGCTCGACGTCAAGTTCATGAGGGAGATGCACCAGATCGAGCTTGAATCTAATAGACGAGGTAGTACCGAGAGGTGGACGCTGACGAGCATCAAGGACGAGAAGAACCCGGACAAGGCTTATTGCGAAGTCCGCGGTGTCACTGCAGGCGAGGTAAGACCCCGTTTGGGTCTTCATGCACCCATAAATCCACATTGAGACGTATACCTGACATTGGTGTTTCTTAGGGCCTTCTAAAGCGGTCTGTAGACTGCTTTTACAACACCTGAGCGGTTGGCGCGCATATCGAGGCAGCATGCAGTTGCAGACAAGCACATGTCTGTTCTTGAGAGGGGGGGGCATGATAATGAGGGCATCTCAAACGAACTAGAACGAGTAACTGGCAGGGAAAGAGGTTACACGAGCTTGGCTTGGCTATTTTTGGATCCATTGAAAGTCTGATGCGGTGAACCATTGGTTGTTGTACATGGCTCATGCAGTGTGCCTTTGTTTGCTGACCACACATGTACATGCATGTATTGATTTCATCAACCATATATAGTATCGGGAGACAGAAATGCAGCGACGAATTGAGTGTCTCATGTTCCACAACTTGAAGCCTCAATGTCGCTTCCCGGTCTTGTACCACCCCCAAGAGGAGTGCGTTATGTGCATCCCAAAGACCTTGGTCACTTTCATAGGTAGTTCTTCAATACTTTTGTAGCAGGGCAGCTCTGTGAGCATGACCCGTGAGCCATAGCATAGATCCTGGGGTTCGACGGTCTCTACAAACTGGTCAAGTGTCCGCCTCACCTGACTTATCAACTGGCAATCGTTATTGCTTTATCATGCATAGAGAGCTCTTTGTTCACCGCCACCGGTTTGATTAAAAAGCACTTTGTTTCAAAGAGGTGCAGTAACAAATGCCTCGTCTAGCAATCTAACCATATTTATATGTTGGCATTCCTAAGTGTGCCATTGCCTCTTGTAACCCATTATGATACTATCATACAATCAACTCAAGTCATGCTACCCCATGCACCCAATGAATCTTCGACGATGCAATGCAGACAGTGTGTATACATCTAGTTCTCCTCCTCCATGCCGTCTCGGAGAATCTCAATCTGCTTCTTGATCTCCACCCACAACACCAGCTTCTTCAAGTCCTCGTCGTCGGAAGCGTCGACCACCCCGAGCCAGTCGTCCTCGAGCTGCTCCGTGAGGGCCTGAATACTGTCGCGCCTGCCCTGCTGCATCGAACGGCGCGCGATGGCCAGCAGGGCGGCGACGAAGGCCTCCTGGATGTAGGCGAAGCTGAACTTGTCCGTGATCTTGGCGATGGCCTCGCACAGCTTGTCGGGGAAGACGATTTCCTCGTTGGCCTGGAGCTTCTTCTGCCAGAAGTGACAGTAGGCGATGCGCTGCTCGAGGTTCGGGTCCGGGAACAAGTACTTGCGGTCGAATCGAGATGGGCGTTTCTACCACGTGTTAGTAAAGGTGCTTTTCTTCAACGGCCGTCCGCCGGATTGTACTCACGGAAATGCCGGGGTCGAGGCGGTCCAGATGGTTCGTGCTGCCAATGATGAAGATGCCGTCGTTGGACTTGAGACCGTCCATCTCGTTGAGGAAGTAGCTCCTGACGTTCTCGGACACGATCGTATCAAGGTCCTCGAAGACAAGGTAGCAAGGCGCGTACTCGCGCGCCTTGCCGAAGACCTGCTTGATGGAGTACTCGGGCCCCATGAATGAGACGAGCGTCCGCACGTACAGCGTAGGGATGTTTATCTGGTGGAGCATGTTCATGGTGGCCTTGATTGAGATGGTCTTGCCGTTGCCTGGGGGTCCGTAGTAGATCAGGCCGCGCTTCCAAGGCACCTTGAGGTTCTGGTAGGTGTCCCTGGAATGGAAGAATGAGAGGTGGTCGTCGATGACGGCCTTCTTCATGTCTTCGTCGAGGATAACGCTATCCCAAGAGGCATTTCGGAAGCTCTCAAAGAGCTCGCGGCTCTTTTGCCAGTAGCCCTCGTCAAAAACCCAGACCTCGTCATGAAGATCACTGCTCCACTTGCCGGCGGCGAGGACAAGCTGGTCAATATGATAGGTCTCGGGGGCCAGGATATAGTAGTTCTTGATCGAGTAAGGGACCGTTCCGTCGCGGCCATCAATCAGATACACAATGAACTCATGGCCCTGCCACTTGTATAGGTACTTGCCAAACTTAGTTGTGTTGGCTAGGCCACCCTGCTCTCCGTCGAGACGCCGGGCTGGAGCTAGGTAGATGAGCCATTCGATCGATGAGGGGAGGTTGGTGCCTTTGTCCTCGATGAGCTCGCAGCTAGCGTGGCCGGCTTGAGCAAATCCAAGCAGGTTACAATCGTTGAAGCCAGCGGCCTCGGGCACAACGACGAGCTCGAGATGGGGGTATTGCTCCTTGAGAGCTTTGGACACTAAAGCATCGGTGTTGACGCGCTTCGCGCTCGAGTGCTTAAAGTACTCCTTCGTAACACTGTCGCCGTTGCCCGGCTCGGAATCTCGAGTCGTCGTGCGGGGAGCGTTAGAGCTCGTGTGGGGATGGATGCGGCGGGACAAGCGCTCAAAGGCGGTCGGCCCGAGAACAAACTCCGGGCACCCGTCAGGGCTCCAGATGTCGTGCGGAGGCAAGGGTAGAGGAGGCATCTTGGCTTCTGCTTATAAGACCCGAGGTGTCTCTTGGTGTCGACCCTTGATGATATGGGGTGAGATGAGATGAAGTCAAGTGGGCAACAGAGCTAGGATAAGCTGAGATGCGGGGAAGGCGATCGCGCCTCAGGTTATGGGTGGTAACTGAGCTTACCTGACTGCCTGGCTTCGCACAGAGTGACGCTTATAGGTTTCAGCTAGTGCCTAAAGATCGACGTATACATATATGGTATGGTGAAGCGAAAGGATACGAGAGGCTGGGGGAAGCGAGAGCTGTGCCGTTGTCCCTGTGCAGCGATGACGTTGTGCCATTCGTCAATCCTCGGGACGAAGAGCTAGGGGTAGCTGCTGCGCCACCACATGTCTTCGTCAGCCAGGGTGTCCTGGGCGTCAAGGGGTCTCACAACCATTTTGGCGCAGAGAGCCGGCCGATGGGCCGATAGGCAATCAGACTTATCGGATGCTATGTATCAGGCTATGCATCCTTCTCTTACCTGAGTTGGTTTTGACGCAACTCAGAGTGCCCTACATAAACCAAAGATAGTATGGTGAAAGAAAATGGGGGGTGGAATAAGAGGCGCCGTAACATGCCGCAAGGCTCTGTTGTATTGTATTGATTCGAAGCAGTTTGTAATTAGTAGTTTAGTAGTTCATTTCGTCAAAGGTTAGATACATATCAGACGTTTGGGAAATGGAGTGGTCGTCGTCGTCGTCGATCGGCACAGTCGTTGGAGTCGAAGCATACGCCCATTGAAACACTCGTAGACCCGTATCTACAGGTTGATAGGCCAATCATTGTTTCGATGACATACCGCAAAGTTTGGGGCATCTCATTGCATGAAAGCACGTGTGTAAAAACGGATATTGATACGAGGATTGTTGCCATCCTGTATCATAATAAGGTTGGTTCTAAGACGACATTTTGAATGCCGGAGGTAGTCGTCAGTCGACAGTATTTCTACCCTGTCAGCCTGTTCGTTCAATTACACAATTGTCAGCGGATCCCATCGCCGTCATCTATGATGCCTACTACACGGACCATCAGTCTGATAGGAGAGCGACGACAATGGAGAAGTACTTGGGTCCAGTTGCTAGGCGACCCTGTATATGTCAGAGAGACCGGTAGTATCGTCCAACCTGTCGTTGGCTTCAATTGAGAGACTACAGAGACAGTATTTTGATATCAGGCGTCTTTCGCCGAGGAGTTCTCTACGTCTGTAGAATCCTGTTCCAAATTCAAGAGCTCCCTTGGATAGATGCAAGTAAAATCGCCGTCTTCTTCCCTCATCGTATGCTCGCATTCTAATAGATCACTACCAGCTACCAAGTTGAAGCTAATGGGGAGGGAGGGCAACTGTAAGGTCAATTCTCTGTTTACCAACCCCCCCCAAGAATTAAGGTTCATCACATCCCAAAACTAGCTTTTACCGGTTGCCACTCATCGGCTCTAGTGGTGGCACTAGGGATTGGCGGGGCAATGCTGGCGTCCGTAATCGCGAGATGACAGTGACATACCTATTGTCCACATGTCTGCGTCGGCTAAGTATCCATTGCAGGTGGCTTCAACAAACACAACCTCGATGCAGAAGGATCAATGCAGCCGTTGCGCCGGTCTTCAATACAAAATAGCCGAAAAGTAATCATGGGGATGCCACAAAATGAGTGCGTGTTGGATCACAGCTCTCGATGGAAGTATTAATGGTTCAGACTCCCTTATCACCTGCGAAAAGAGAGAAGAAAAAAAGACGAAGAAAAAAACCGTATCAAAACGGCAAAAATCTCATCGCTTGAACGTCTTTTGTCTGCTCGCAAGCGAGGCAGAGGCACGCGCCGGAGACTGTGTACCAAGAAAAGTAATCATTCGGATGCCACAAAATGAGTGCGTGTTGGATCACCCCCGAAATAAGTACACGGAATACCTAAACATCGAGGTCTGGGTGGCCCGGAACCTTTGCGATTGTAACCCAAGGCGCACTGTCGAGTTTCACTGCAGGGATCATAAGCATGAGCGGGCCGTTGGTGTGAGACAACGCATGCTCGAACATACGTATATCCAGTCTAAGTGGTCGGCGCTATTTGGGAATATTCACCGGCTTCTGCCGATCTATGCGTAGTAGATCTATAACTGTGCATCAGGCCAATGTCAGCGAACACACCCCGGACGAGCATATCTCAAGCTGACACAAGTCTACCACATGGTTAGGTAGTCAAGAAGGCCGACTTGTGTCAAACAGCATAAGCAGACTTCGGCACAAGGATCAACATGACACTCAGTAGGGTGGCGTCGGCATACGTGGCTTGCTAATTTGATCAGGAGGGTCGGGGCTGTCGTCGGACCCCCCCAAGCTCCGGGGACTAGCAGCAACCGCACATGCATTGAGACATCAGCCGATTAAGATCTGCGGGCCGGCTCGAGCTATTAGTCTAGGTACTAAACCAGCGAGTGCATGTACCTCCACGAAGCGTTTTGGAATATGAAAGCCGTGCACCCTCTCACGTACAAGTTTATACGTGATTCTAGGCCGGCAGCCGGGTTCCTGAACGCCATCCTGAAGCTTCTCAACCAAAAATGGAGTTACCGGATTACCCTCCCAAGGTCGACATCAAGACCCAGATCTACGAGCAGCCGCCAGTCACGGCGAAGGCGCTATCAAGCTGGGACGATTTGGACGCAAATGAGATCTCTCAAAGCGTCGTGACGGAGCTATCCGCTGCTCTACAGCAGAGACGTCGCCGAGACGTGGAGAACGTCTTTGCTACCCCGTCCGCGCACTGGAAGGACACCTTGGCCTTGACGGCTCATCTCAGAACATTCAAAGGCAGGCAGACCATTGCATCGGCATTGCTAGAGTTGCACGACCAACGAAAGGTTGGCGATCTTCAATTTCACGGCGGGCTAGTTGTGACGGTGACTGAAGACCTGGTAAGGCTGCTTGCTACCTTATTATGCCTATCATGCGGCTAACAGGTGGTAGAAATGGCTAAACTGCAGCTTCAGTTTTACGACCGGGTCACCACGAGCTTTATGCCGAGGAAGTATGATGCTAGTCCCGGAAGTTCAGGAACCTGATCATTGCCAGTGGAAGATATGGTCCATGAGCACGTGGCTCAAGGACTGGGAGGAATACCCTGAAGATGAGAGCCTACTGAGGATGCCCTCTAGTCAAATAACCGAAAATGACCGCATCTACACAGATGTGCTAGTCATTGGCGGGGGCAACGCGTGAGTATCCTTTCTATTCGCCAAGATGCGCGACGTATGTTAACATGCGAATACCCAGCGGTATGATTCTGGCTGGCCGCTTGAAGGCTTTGAACGTTGATTTTGTCGTCATCGACCGAAACAAACAGGCGGGGGAGAACTGGTCGCAGCGATACGACTGCATGCGCTTCCATGTCTACAAATCCTTTTGTGAGATGCCATATCTCCGTAAGTGAGCCCCATGTGCTTGTCAAAGCGTTGGCCTTGAAGTATCACATGATTTCACCCAAACTTCCGCCGGATGCGTTCATCTATCCAGCTCGAAGACTTTACACGTCGCCTTAAGGGGTTAGTGAACCACGCTGTCGTAAAACAACTAACAAATCAACAGCGTATCCACAGTCATCCAATGACGGCCTTACCCGGGACCAGCTGGCCGCACAGGTCCGAGCCTTTGCCCACGAGTTCGACCTAGAACGTCGCGTTCTTCGCAGCACAACAGTGACTGCTACGACGTACGACTCGACCACCAAAACCTGGAGGGTGGAGCTGAAAACCGGACAAAGACAAAGATATCTGGAATGCGCATGCTTGGTCCTCGCGACTGGTGCCGGGTTCTCCGGCGCTGCACCTCTGCCGGACTTACCAGGCAGTGGGCAATTCAAAGGTCCCAACATGCATTCTGGAAACTTTCGTAACGCCGGAGAGCTCGTGGCAGACGGCGCCAAGGTGAGTCCCACATGGCAGTATCCCTACGTGTAGTAGAAACAGTTGTCGTGCTGACACTCCCTGCAAGTCTGTGGTTATCGTCGGTTCTGCCAATACCGCATTCGACGTGATGGTGGACTGCCATGACTCTGGCCTCCAGACTACCATGATTCAAAGATCAGAGACCTATGTTGTCCCAATGCGCTACTTTGCTCACCCCCTGGGGTTAGGGGCATACGACGTTATGCCGACCGAAGACGCCGATGCGATTGTCAATGGGAGCCCGCTGGCCGTTGGTGGAAATGTACTTCGGCTGGTCCACCGAATGCAAGCTCAAGCAGAGCCGTAAGCATCGTTCTCCCAGGCCATTATCTAGCTGTACTGATTTCATCCATCGACAGTCACCGATACGATGAGGTAAGGAAAGCAGGGCTGAGAGTCCAAGACTCCTTGACGGGCGATCTAGTCATCAATCTCGTGGATCGTTGCGGAGGCCACTTCGTGGATATGGGCAACGGCATCGAGCTCATCACAAAGAAGAAGGTTGGCATCCGCTCCGGGGTGGTGCCCACAGCCTACACGCCCGAGGGGTTGCTGTTGTCGGACGGCAGCACGCTGGAGACCGACGCCATTGTGTGGTGCACTGGGTTTGGCGACCTCGACGGCAGGACAAGACTTTCGGGCGAACTTGGGGCTGGATACGAAGCCATCGCTAGCAAGCTGGAGCCAACGTGGGGGGCAGACGCCGAAGGCGAGGTCCGCGGGCTTTGGAAACGACATGCAGGAGTCGACAACCTCTGGATGTTCGCCGGCGGAACTGGGCAGCACAGATGGTTCTCCAAGGTCATCGCTCAACAGATCAAAGGAGTCCTGGAAGGCTTTTTGCCAGACGCCTACCGGCGGACACCGCAGTCTCACATTGCAGGCGACTCCTCGAGCGAAGGTACATGGGTTTCGAACTTGTAAGGTTCCAGGTGAGCTCAGGACGAAAACGAGGATTTGTAAGACTCGTCATAATTTGCGTATATTTTCAAGCTATTTGTTTAAGCTACATGCTTGGATTTAAAATCCATCCTACTTCCATCTCTCTCCGCGCCAGAACCATTACCGTGGCTTTAGGTGCGCCAAAATGTGAGCTATCGCCTTTTTGGAAGGCGATGCATAAGATTAAATGAATGAGGAAACCAAACGCTTGGTAGCAGCAACGTCTAGTACCTATATCTGTCAGATTTCACAATGACCCATTGTTTCATTGATTTATGTGATCCAACGCGCACGTTGGTTACTCGTGCCGAAATCTGCCCTGAGCAAACCCAAACATGCCCTTTGATTGCCTGCCGCCAAGCCGCATGGTTTATGTTGGACCGATGAGAGGGGTCGCAACTACAGGCCACTCCAGCAAACAGAATTCAAGACGTAATTTCTCTCGGCGCAGTGTTAGTTCTATTCCTTCAATTCTGGCGAGAGAGGTCGAATGCCCAAGGCCAATTCCAACCCAGCAATGCATTCGTTCCCACTCAAGACGAGATAATAGTGCGATGCAAAAAGTTGCTGCAGCTTTACTGACCCGTTGAGTCACTCTCATTCAGCGATGGCTTTGAGTCAAAAGTTGCACGTGTAAGTCATCGCAGATCCTCGTGCGTTTGGGACGCCGGACCTTTCTTACGTGTTGATGGGACTATTTTAGAGCGTTGCATCCTCAAACTTGAGCGTTTCCAGAGCGATCTTTAACTTCCGAGAAGAGAACGGACGAAGGTATCATGCATACAACGACGGAAGTCAGTAACTCTGATATTCACGCCTCATTACACACCAGCCTCGATGAAGCTTTTCCTCACCAACAGGAACAGAATACATCTTGTCCGACGATGAGCAAAAACAAGACAGACTGGGTACAACTTTCTAGACCCGTATCGTTCTATGGATACGAGCTTGTGGATACCCTTCGCATTGTTGATGAATCATGTAGAGTTGCAGCACAATCTCTTCCTCTTGACCTTTGACAACAAGCTAGGGCTCGCTCCGCCAAACTAACCTAACTCAAAGGTCAAGCATGTTCTCAAAATAGGTACTGGTACAGGACTGTGGGCGATAGAATTGGGTGAAGACCACCCCGAAGCTGAGTTAATCACCCTGTTCTGGCATAAACGTGAAATACTCATGACCCCAGGTCGTTGGTATCATGGTATGGATCTCTCCATTCCCATGCCAGCGTTGTAAGTACCAGAAAAGGCACAGCCTTTCTACCAACCCCACTGGTGGAGGCTACCCTACTAATCGGGCAAAGTGTTTCTCGAAATCTCATCTTTAAAATCAACGACCAAGATGAACAGTGGGAATATTCGCAGCCCTTTGACTACATTCATACCCAGGGGAGAATGCCTGCATAGCAGACTGAAAACTCTTTCTCAACAAGGCTTTCGAGTGAGTTCCTCTATGCATCTGATTTTACTTGAATCTTTGTGACTTACATTTCGACGTCTTAGCAACTTGGCACCTGGTGGGTATTTCGAGTTCCAAGAGCTCGACGTACACCCTCGATCAGACAATGGTACTCTGACGCCAGACGTTCCTCTATCCAAGTGTATGAAATTTTTACAAGAAGCGTTCTAGAAACTCGGGCGGTCCTTCCAAGCTTATGGCTGTGATGCGGGACGTCGGGTTCATTGATGTAAAGCTGAGCTTGTTCAAATGGCCCTCAAACTCGTGGCCGAAAGACTCAAAGTTTAAGGAGTTGGGAGCATAGAACAACGATTTTGAGGCGATAACTTTCGGGCCATCCACCCGGGTACTTGGGTGGACGAAGGACGAGGTCCACGCGTTCTTCCCGAGCGTACGAAAAGATTTGAACAGCAGATCCATCCATGCATATTGGCCCGCGTAAGCAACTGTATCGGCTTGGGTTGAAGATGGCTAATGAGGTAGCAGATATCTCTCGTACGGAATGAAGCCAACAGAGAATAGGTCGCCGAAGCGGAAACGCAGAAGGATCATGTAATTAGCTTGAATGAGATCCGGAGCATGGTTATATGTCAGACACGCACGCATATATTTAACCGCTTTCTAGTGGTGAGAACTAATTACTAGATAATTATACATTATAGAGCCTTATTGTAGTCTTTAATATAGTAAGTCTATCTAAACCTGTAGACTTATAAGGTCTATAGCGGCAAATGCTATATCGTCTCTATAGCGTAGGAGTCTAATTTGATGACATATGGTATTACCTACACATTAATATATACACCTACTTCAACAGGTCTATTCCATCAACTAGATATATAGATAGGCAGTGTGAGCGGGTGTATCAAGAAAGGCAACTGGCTGATAAACTCCAAGTGCTCCTATCAGAGGCTCATTCGATAGAATGGGTAAACAATGGTATATTGGTAGGGTACCGTTGTTGAGCAAAAACTGTAATTTTTGTTGCCAGCTTCGTTAGTATATAAGCGAAGCTGCGGAAGTAAGTCACCAAGCCTCAGGACTGTCCATTTCTCCATTCAACACTAAGCAAACATATATAAAGCCTTTTACTACATTTGGTCTGATGACCAACTTGCGTTCTAACTCTGGGTATTCTACTCCTAAGTGACACCTATTACATGCTATTATGTGATTCAACTTCTGCTACTAGTACCACTGCCGCTTCTATATTTAGTCGGCTCTAACCCTGTAACTCCCATGTCCTCTGGGCTGGAGCCAAAGGAGCCTCATGGACTTTGCCATCATTGACGCCCATAGGATAGACATATCTGTCCATAGGGGTCCCGTTTGTGCTACTATTTGCTGAGAGGTAGTTGCTTTCGTTACTCAGCCTCTTGCGCTTGTTACGGTGCACGAGAAATGCGATGAGCATGAGGATTCCCATCAATGCGGCGGAACCGATGGCTATCCCTGCTACGGGGCCAGAAGAAAGCCCTGTAGAAGGGCCATTGCTGCCACTTTGTGTGCTTGTCGTAGCTGAAGCTTGATTTGTAGAGGTTCCCGTTTCTGTTGTTGTTGTTGTTGTTGTTGTTGTTGTTGTTGTTGTTGTTGGCGTTATCATCGTCGCAGGTAGACTAGAAGCTGCAGTGGAGGTTGAAGGTGATGTCGACGCTACCTATAATACTGGTTAAATTTCGTCTAGTCTTCGAACGAAAACGAACGCAACTTACTGAAATCATCTTAACTCCCCACGCCTCTAAACCCTCATCTGTAAACGGTGTTCGCGTTATCGGCTGCTCTGTTGGAACAGCAATACCAAGATCGGTAACCAAGCCGGTCCACACAGCGCCGGGAGTCGCTGTTGCGTGGCAGCCGTATTGATGATCTCTGCACATGAATGAAAAGGCGTTGCCAGTGACACTGTATGGAGTCGTCAACCAAAATTCTGACGTGTTTGCCCATCGGCGGCTTAAAATGCAGTCTAGGGCTCCTTGAATAAAAGAGCAAGCGGACTGACGAACCTGGGACAGCACGTAACACTGCTGACGGGCTTTCCCGACCTATTGGGCCCGGCAGTGGCACAGGCACGGGTGTAGCCCGTAGGACAATCGCCGTCGGTTCGATAGGGCACGTTGATGGTGAATGATGGGGGGACGCAATCCCCGTTGGGCGCATTGCCATCCAGTACGGGTGTAGGCGTCCCGTAGAGATTGCTAAAGAAGCCGTTGCCGAGCAGGACTCGGTAGTAGAGCGTGCTGGCGAAGCAAGTGGTCGGGGCGGTCCATGATGACGGGATTGTCGGTAAAGCGTCTATGTCGAATGTGGTCGTCATGCTAGATGTGTGAGACCTGGCCTTTGTTGCCTCTTATCCTGACATTAGATTAACTTCAGGACACAATGGTTTGAAAGACTGAATAGTCAAATGTATTTGAGGAGCCGCGGGTATATTGTGTCGCAGAAGGATGAAGACGGATAGAGACGCTCGAACAGGAGCCTCAAAGGGGATGCCTTAGAATACCCAAGCCGTGGCTTTACATCCAAAACTTATGTTCGTCTAGGGTGTCTTTCGCCATTCCCCAAGTTCCAACGCCGTCTCCTTTCCCGGTTTCAACAACCCCTGATCGTACATACATATGTACCAGTGACTATCGTGGCAGCAGGAGCGGCCGCTCGTGAAGACAGTTCCAACATCATCAGTGGAGGGGCTTCGACAAGGGTCTGTCTTCACACCGCATCCTCCCAAGTTCACGTGGGTATGTAATTGGTTTATTTGGCTGTATATTTAGTTGCTAGACTTCCAAATGAGCATAAGCCAGTATTATTTGCAAAGGATCAATATGTACGAATATACTTCGTACCGCTTTCATAATGCCGAATCAAAGGTGTCTTCGGTTGCCATCACCACCAACATTTGTACCAACCAACATATCAATTGTGTCAGGGGTGGCCAGGCTGCACCGCTACATCCGGTTGTGTACTCAAGACTGAGTCTCCACATATGATACCAATAAGACTTCTTATTGGCTATCGTTATCAACCAGCCAGGAGAGACCGGGCATCCATGTTGGCTGTGTTGGGCTTAACCAATCCGAACCCTTCGTTGGTTCGTCTGTTGGTACTGATTGACATCTTCAAATACTTGGCGTGCTGGGTTCTTAAGCATGAGGCGGATGAGGCGTCGGGCGGCTAGCCAGAATACCTGGGCGCGTAAAAAGCTCGAACATAGAGACGTTGGGTGGGATGTTTATGTTTGTTTGTCGAGAGAGGTGCGCACGGTGTCTGATGGCCTCCCTCTACATGCCACCTTATTGTCCCAAAATGAATGTTTGCCCATGACCATTCTATATGGATCACCAATGAGAGGCGACAGGGAAATTGGGTGGCAGCGCCCCTGCTATTCATGTCTGCTGCATGTGTTCTAACCTCTGTCACGACTCATTCTTCTGGCCCCACAAGGGTTAATGCTCCGTTACAAAATGGGTCGTGAGGTACGGAGACGCCATGCTGTCTTAAGAGCCAGTTGGTCCCTTGCGTTCTTCACTTGAAGACGTGTCTATCCCTTCCGGCGGCTTGTCCGTACGCTCGGAATCCCAAATACTTGGTTTCTCCCTTGCCTTGGCTCCCACAACCCTGCGGCGGATAGCTGAGCTTGTTATACCGTATCCTCTCATCAAACACGAAGTCCGCACAGGCCACAGGCTGCTGGAAAGGGGTAAGCGGGCTGGCAGAAACAGGGATCTAGATGTGGCAAATGCAGGAATTCATTTACGTCAGCAGCAGGTAGGTGGCAAGGGTTAGGGTTATATGGGTGGGTGTGTGTGTAGGTAGGTTGACCGCCTGTTATAATGGGACTAGCGTATGGCCTGTGCGGACTTCGTGTTTGATGAGAGGATACGGTAATTCTTCTCTGATTTCCTTTTTTAATCCTGCTTGGCCCCCCCACTGGACTCGACGGGCTCGGGCCATCCATTCATTCTCTTTTAGACACGAAGCCAACAATAACCCCGTTTCGTCGTACTGCCGAGCGTCTTTCGCAATCTTTCTCGTCGGCGTGTGACGGCCAAAGCTTTTTCTACCAGCTCGCTCTTTACAATGCTAGAAAAAGTCATCTACAACAACTCGCGGAGGCGCTACCAGCCACGCTTGTGGGTGGTCATCAGCCTGATCCTGCTGTTAGCATTTTTGCTTTACATCGCTCCTAGCAACATCGACCAACGGCTGTTTAACAACAAATTTACAAGCACAAAGAACCGTGGTTCATGGAATGGCAACTTTACGTCATCAGAATGGATGAATGCGCGCCCTGGTCACCTCATCCCTCCCAAAATCTGGCAAATCATTTTGCCCAAGGGGAGCAAAAATGCTCAGAATGCAGTTGACCCAGACACTTTGAAAGAAACGGCAACATGGCTGGCTAAGAACCAGGATTACATATAGTAAGGGTTTCATGTTCTGTTACTGGAGACTCAAAGCATTGGACTTCATTGAGATTGGACTTACTAACTCTTTTCCAGCACGCTTGTGGGTGGAGAAGGTGGGAGAGATTTTATTTCCCGCCATTTCAACCACACCGTTCTTTCAACCTACGATTCACTCCCCAACGTTGGGATGAAGTCTGACCTCCTTCGCTACCTTCTCCTGGACATTGAAGGTGGCATTTATTCCGATACTGATACTATTGCTCTGAAGCCGGTTGATAAGTGGGTTCCAGAAAAGTTTCGGAGCCGGACTCGGCTTATTGTTGGTATTGAATTTGATCAACGTGACGGAGGGACTTGGGCCGACATATCTCACCCGGTACAATTTTGCCAGTGGACTATTGCTGCAGCGCCAGGTCATCCTGTCTTCCAAAAGATGGTAGCCCGTGTGATCCAGTCACGGGAAGACATGGTCAATTTGCACGGTGCTGCATGGAAGCCAACGAGTTTCGAGGTTATGAACACCACAGGTCCAGCAGCATGGACAGATGCGGTCTGGGCATACCTGCAAGAGACCGATGACACCTTGACAACCCTGAGGAACCTGTCATATATGGATTCACCAAGACTATATGGCGACGCCTTGGTTCTACCCATCGATGGGTTTGGCATGGGGCAGCCGCATTCTGCTAGTACGAACGATGGAAGCATACCTGATGGAGCATTAATAAAACACATATTTGGGGGTTCTTGGAGAGGGGATTAACGTCTTTGTAGGATGTATGACGGAGTATGTTTAGGAATCTTTTGCGCTTTTAAGAATAATAACTCCCAAAGAGGAAAATTTCCGAATTTTGAGCTAGTGCATTTTGCAGACTACCTACCATATGGGATGGATAGATGGATGACGGAAACTAGCGCGCTGACCACTTGGTCAGAATATTATCAATTATATAAGGGGTAGGTAGCCAGCATCGATCAGTATTGCTATCTAACTAACGGATTTCTGTTCTGCAACTATCCGTTTACTGTGCAAGCAACCTGCTCGCCTTGCTCATCAGCCTCATCCTGCTCATCAGCCTCATCCTGCTCGCTGGCGGCGGGTTGTCAGAGGTCAGCTGGTCCGAGTGATGAAGTCAACGATAGGGCCACTTAACGGAAGGTAGGTATGGTGTTGTAACAGCATTCAAATCTAACCCCTTAACTATCGCAAGCTGGAAGGGTTTTATCCCTTATAGGCTGACTAATAGGGATCCACTAGCTCTAACCCTGGTTCTAGCCTGTGACCTCTCTGCCAGGCACCTGACACGGGTGATCTGGCCGCACCTGAGACTCATAGTGGCTGTACTGAATCGAGGCCATCGACGCTCCCGCGAGCCCTAGTACAGGAAGAAGTACCTGTAGTTCTCGTAACAAGTTGGCGGTTGCTTTCCTCATCTTGAGCAGAAGAGGGGGCCAAAATGGCATGAGAACTCGTAAGACCGAAAACACGGGGAAACGTAAGTAACTGTTGGACCGTAACCTCGAAAGTTGGTTTGCGCTAATTCATCCGTTGTTACCACTGATCGAAAGCTTGGGGAAACCTCGCGCGTCTTACTGGCCCGCGTATGGTGCCGCGGTCGGGCTGTTTCATTCCAAGTGCACCCTTGCTCTTTGGGAGGGGCCGCAAGAAGGTGGGTGTTATGGTGTCAAAACAGCTGCTTTAATACGATAACGGTAGGTGTAGTCCCAGATGTCCAAACTGTGTTAATGATTGGTCAAGGTCTTCGAGCTTGACGCAACCGGCATCCATCCAAGGGTTGGAAACGGCCTTCTTTAGACCTAGAACCTGAACATTTGCAGCCTCTGCTATGGTATGCAGACATGCGGTAGACCAAGGGCGTATACATCACTCAGCCCACCACGCGCGCCTTTCCGTGGTACCGAGCACTCACCGCCCGCTTTGCGAAGCACATAGCGAGCGCCTCACTAAGCCCATCATGCCGGTCTTACTAAGTCCACCATGCCTACAAGACTTTCCGAATACCACGTCTTAAGGGTCCGGCGCCTGCAGATGTATAGGGCCAATTGCAGGTCCTTCATTCGCCAGAAACAGGTTTGGCGATAGGAACCTATCAACCGAATATGCAGGTCTTACGAGGGGGCGTCGGCTCAACAAGAATTGGGTTTGGGCACCGCACCTTGTGTATGTCTGTGCAAACGTCAAGACTTCGCCCGTCTCCTCTTCGGCAATCGGGATCATCGGATGTCTGGTCCCAAGTGAGGTCTGATTTAAGTGTTGACGACCCCTCGGTTGAGGTCAGTTACCGAATCTCCCCATCTCTTTCATTCGCACCATTTCACCGACGCCCAACGCTCAACTGTATAACAAGAACAGATCTGGCTTACAAACGGAATCAGCTATCCGATAGCTGGCAACCATGAAGACCACGAACCGTCCCGATGAGTGGAAGATTGAGCAGGGCCTTTCAGGGGCCGTACTCCCGGTCCTTGACATGACGGGCCCCGAGACGAAGGCCCTTCCTCCTCAGACCTTCGGGCCACCTACCAAGAATGAAAAAGCACTCGCTGAGATCGGCGACCAAGAGAAGCTCTTTGCTGCCGAGCGTAAGGGCTGGGTTGGGTAAGTTGCTCATTCTGGATAAACAGTAGTCACGGAGCTGGGTGGGGGTTGAGCATACGTTCGTTGTCCGCGACTGATCCGAATCGACCACGTCAGTTACGTTGAATGGGAAAACTACCCTGACAAGAAAGCTATCGCACACAAGATTCTCACTTCCCAGACGTTCCACCCCAATCCAGAGTACCAACTGGGTCCGATTCCCGCCAGTAACCCTGTCCTCCCCGGCACCAACTGGAAGATGTGGCACCGCGCCATCGGCGGGGAGCTCACAAAGGTTCCTGACGACTCGTGGGATATTGTCCTGAAGGAGAAGCATCCGGACATGCTCCACCTGCTCCAGTTCCCCTACAACGGAGAGCCGCCCAAGCGGCTGGTGACCGACAAGGAGATCACCCCGAATTCGCTCCACTTTGTCAGGAACCACGGCGGGATCCCCATAATTGACAAGGAGGAGTACAGCTTCCTACTGGACGGCCTCGTCGCGAACCCCCGATCCTTCACCCTAGACGACATCATGGATGAGTCCAAGTTCCCGCGCATGGAGAAGACCGTCACGATGCAGTGCTCCGGGACCCGCCGCATCGAGCAGATCCTCAAATATGCCGGCCAAGGTGACGAGGTACCCCAGGCGCCGTGGGCCGAGGGGGCCATCGGGACTGCTCGGTACGTTGGGATCAGCCTCAAGAAAGTCATCAAGGCCTGCGGGGGCTTGGTCGACGGCGCCAAGCACCTAGAATTCTACGGCGCCGACACCTACTTCAAGGACAACGAGACGATGAACTACCTCGTCAGCGTCCCGTGGTCCAAGGTAAAGGCGAACGAGGTTATGCTGGCTTGGGAGATGAACGGCGAGGTGTTGCCGAGGATCCACGGCTATCCCCTCCGCATCGTGGTCTTTGGCTACATCGGGGCCAGGAGCGTAAAGTGGCTGTACCGCATCAAGGCTATCAAGGAGCCCTCGCGAGCTCCCGTGCAGAGCAAGGAGTACCTATACTTCCCGCAACAAGTGGGGAAACACAACCTCAAGATGACGGACGGTATCCAGATCCAGGAGATGCCCGTCAGCTCAGCTATCATGTCGCCTTGGACCAAGCAGGCCGTCATCCACAACGGCAGAATCCGCTGCAAGGGCTGGGCCTACTCTGGGGGCGGCCGGTGGCCCGAACGCGTCGAACTTTCAGCCGACGGCGGCTTCAACTGGTACACGGTGCCCGTGGAGAACCTCTCCAAGAAGCGCCGCTGGACGTGGCGCACGTGGGAGTTCGATCTCCCCTGCGACGTCGAGGGCTGGATCGAGGTCGTGTGCCGCTGCTGGGACAACTCGCTCAACACTCAACCCCCCGACGTCCGTACAGCCTGGAACTGGGGCCTGCATGTCACCAGCTCGTGCCATCGCATCGCGCTGTACAGCATCAACAAGACCAGACCGGCAACGAAGGCGCGTCTTGCCGAGTTCGAGGAGAAGGGCATACCCTTTGGCCCGATCACGGTTCCACTGGTTTTCCCGTCGCAATCTTGGGACGAGTACGAGAAGTACTGGGCAACCCATGATCCCCGCGACGCAGAAGACGACTAGGCCGTCTCTGGGATTCGTTTTTGTTACTGTGGGTTGCCTTTCTCTCCAATCAGCGCGGGGTGGTGACAAAGCGTCAGAGTAGTATTGCATGCAGGAGATTTCGTCAAGAGTTACGCTATTCTTCGGCAGGACTTCATGCTTACCAAATCGCCAAGCGAAACAATTGGTTTAATGCCATGCAGTTTTCGAAATGTAAGGCTGATAAGTGATCTATGTGTTGACGAATGTTTGAAGCTGCTTGACCAATCTCGGCTGGAATACCCATTCACACCCCTGCTAAGACTGTGATGGACGATCACGCTGCGGCCGCATAATTGAAACAGTGTGGATATCCCGTTGAGTGAGCAGTTTGCTATTGATCCCGGGGAGGCCGAAACTCTAATCTGGGTATGGCGATGGACAATTCCTCGATCCATGGACTACGTCTGTAGCAACACACCTCAGCAGGGTCAACTCGAGAAAGGTTCTACTGGGACAGCAGTGCGGACTGATGATTTCCAACCGAGATCCAACTTGTTTCTCTAACAAGTAATTTACTTCTGTCACTTTGTTCTGTTTCTAGGTTGCCGCTCAGATGCGGGCCGCGGATAGAGTGCGGGGCTGGGACCAGATACCGGTAATCTGACGGCCGTTTACAAACGGCTTTTTGGATTTGATACAGGTGAGCCCTACATGGCCCTCATGATATATGATGAACAGTGTGACCGAAGAACCGGATCCTTTGATGTCTACTTGGCTCAGCCTGGTTTACGTGTTGGACGATACTACGGCATGAACCGGGGCAAACACTTGTACACATTATCTGCGTGAATGTGTCCCGTGGGCACCGAAAGAAGTGGAGAACGGATACCCGCGGAGCACCGCTCGAAACCAGCCCAAGGGTAATTCGTCAAATCCCCAGTCGCGGCCCCCCGCGGCCGTTGACATAGGTAGATACAGACGGGACGAATTCCATGAGGTGCGGGCTTGTAATCTACCGTTGACCGAACATTCGTCGTACGTTACTCGTCAGCTCAGCCACTGCCAGTCTCTTTCCGAGGACAACGAGGGAGCACTAAAGGACGGGGCTTGGGCCGGTCAGACAGGGATCGGTGGGCGTCACGACCCTCCTATTCCACCGAGACTCCGTTCCGTAGATCAACTTGTCAAGATATTACCGTCATGGGAGCTTCCTTAATCTACCGTTGACCGAGTATTCGTCGTACGTTAGTCGTCAGCTCAGCCACTGCCAGTCTCTTTCCGAGGACACCGAGGGAGCACTAAAGGACGGGGCTCGGGCCGGTCAGACAGGGATCGGTGGGCGTCACGACCTCCTATTCCACCGAGACTCCGTTCCGTAGATCAACTTATAAAGATACCGTCATGGGAGCTTTCCTTATATCTCAATGTCTATTTATCTTCAACGCATTACCCCAACCACAACGCCACGATGCCGTCCTTACAAAAAGCTGAACCTCCCGCATCCGCTGAGGAATCGTATTCATCGTCAACCCAAGAGAAACGCAGACGAGTCTTCAGCCTGTCCCGCCAGTCGTCGAGCAAAAGCTTTGGCACTATGTCGGGAGAAGCCGAGATCCCGCAGCCCACTCGCATCCCCGTTCTGGGGCATGTGACTGAGATCGACGCGGAATATTCTTTGGGCTCCTTCGTGCACCTCGCGAACAAGTTTGGTAGGTGAGGTTCCTGTCGAGAAGTGAAGACAGCCGTGTTGAGAAAGTGGAGTGAACCTAAGCTAACTTACCAGGTCCTATCTACAAGCTTGATTTGTTCGGCCAGAAGCGGGTGTTCGTCAACACTCACGAACTTGTCAATGAATGCTGTGATGACAAACGCTTCAAGAAGTGCATCGAGGGAGACCTTAATGTGAGTGCAAGTCCAGCCAAGGTTTGGGGTTGGTTCCGCTGCTAACAAGTCGATATAGGAGCTACGCGAGGCAGTACATGACGGTCTGTTCACGGTAAGCCCCAAGCCTCACCCTCCGTTCCCTCATTCGATCTCGGTGGGCGTCTTTGATTAACCTTGCCTTGGATAGTCCAAAGGGATGGAAGAAGAGAACTGGGGCGTTGCCCATCGCGTTTTGATGTCGGCTTTCGGCCCCCTCGCTATCAGGGAAATGTTTGACCCTATGCATGACGTCGCAGGACAGCTCGCGATGAAGTGGGCTCGTCATGGACCGTCTACCCCCATTCATATTGGCGAAGACATGACGAGGCTCACGATGGACACGGTGGCATTGTGCACAATGGGCTACAGATTTAACTCGTACTACCGCGAGGACACCCACCCATTCATCACGGCCATGTACGCCGTTTTGAAGGAGGCCGGCGACAAAGCCTTCCGCGTATTGCCTCAGCTGTTTTACAAGAAGCAGGACAAGAAGATGAGGGCCAACATCAAACTGCTACGGTCAACGGCGAAAGAGGTCCTGGACGCGAGAAGGCTGGATCCGAACGGCGCGACTGGGCGCAAGGATGTGCTGACGGCAATGTTTAACACCGTTGATCCCGTCACGGGGCGCAAAATGACAGACGACAGCATCGTCGACAACCTGATCACCTTCCTGGTGGCTGGCCACGAGACAACCGCCGCAACATTAACATTTACTATGTATTGGCTGCTGAAGAATCCAGAGGTATACAGAAAGGTCCAAGAGGAAGTCGACAGCACAGTAACCAATGGGCCACTCCGCGTAGAGCATGTTGCCAAGTTAAAGTATCTGACAACGGTAAGTATCAAGGCCTTTCTCCGTTCGGTGCTGCCCTAAGCCAGACAGCTGTGGTAGAATCATCGATTTACGGGACGACTGCTAACATAACCCGAACACAGGTAATCAGAGAGGTACTGCGCCACAGTGCCCCCATTCCTGCGTTCGGAAGGGAGTGTCTGGAAGGCGAGGAGGTTATCGGCGGCAAATACCGCATCAAGCCTGGAGAGCAGATCATCTGCTTCCTGGCAAAGTCCCACCTTGACCCCAAGGTTTACGGGGACGACGCCGAAGAGTTCAAGCCCGAGAGGATGCTCGACGAGAACTTTGACCGCCTGATGAAGGAGTTTCCCAACTGCTGGAGCCCTTTTGGCACGGGCATGCGCGCCTGTATCGGCCGTGCCTTTGCCTGGCAGGAGATGGTGCTCGCCCTTGCCCTGCTGATACAGAACTTCAACTTTGTCATGCACAACCCCAACTACGACCTCAAGATCTCGCAGACGCTCACGATCAAGCCCAAGGATTTGTACATCCGGGCCATCCTGAGAGAGGGCTTGACGCCTTCGTCTCTGGAGGCACGGATGGCCGGCTCTTTCTCTGGGGGCCATGGGGCCCAACCCAAGACGACGGCCCATGAGGCTACTGATGGATCGTCAGAGGCCGATGGTGTCAAGGAGAAGGCAAAGCTGGCCGTTTTCTACGGCTCAAACTCCGGAACCTGCGAGTTCATGGCCCAGAGGCTCGCCAGTGACGCCGCATCCCATGGCTTCAGTGCGACTGTGGACACCCTTGACACCGCTCGAGAGTCCCTGCCAGCAGATAGACCGGTTGTCATCATCACTTCCTCCTACGAGGGCGAACCACCCCACAACGCCGCCCTCTTCGTCGACTGGTTGATAAACCTAAAGAGCAAGGAGCTCAAGAACGTGAAGTATGCCGTATATGGCTGCGGTAAGTTGTTCAAACTCCTCACCATAACTATAGCCCTCTGATCACGTCAACAGGACACGCCGACTGGGTGAAGACGCACCAGCGCGTCCCCAAACTAGTTGACGCCTCCATCGAAGAGCGCGGTGGTCACCGAATCGTCCCCTTTGCTTCAACCGACGCCAAAGATAGAGACATGTTCTCCGACTTTGAGGCTTGGGAGGACGACACTCTGTGGCCCGCTCTCGTCAAGCAGTTCGGCGGGCAGCCCGAAGGCGAAGATAGCAGCATCGCCGACGCAGGCCTGTCGGTCTCCTTCTCCACACCGAGAACCTCGACCTTGCGCCAGGACGTCAGGGACGCGCTCGTGCTCGACTCTCGCCCGCTTGCAAATGGCGACCTGGGGCCGGTCAAGAGGCACCTAGAGGTGCAGCTGCCGTCCAACGTACGGTACACGGCGGGTGATTACATGGCTGTGCTCCCGCACAACCCCAAGGAAACCGTCGCGCGGGTGATGCGACACTTCCACCTGACGTGGGACTCTCATGTTACAATCAAGGCTTCGGGCCCCACGACTCTGCCCACGGACGTCAGCATTCCCGTCTCTGATGTCTTGAGCTCATACGTCGAGCTGTGCCAAACAGCTTCCAGGAGGGTTAGTTTGCTCTGCGTTCCCATTTGCCTAGTATTCCAGTCACTAACGAGAAGCGTCTAGAATGTATCGACACTATCGCAATTTGCCAAGGACGAGGAGGTCCGTCGCAAGCTCCAGCACCTGGCGACTGGCGGTTACGACGTAGAGGTGAAGAACAAGAGACTCTCCGTTCTGGACATTGCCAAGCAATTTCCATCTCTGGCAATCCCGTTCAACCATTTCCTCCTCATGCTCCCACCCATGCGTGTCCGCCAGTAGTAAGTGCAGGGCTTTCCCAGTTGCCGTGGACTATACTTACCGTTATAATCAGCTCGATATCCTCGTCGCCTCTCGTCGACCCAGGTGTCGCCACCATCACTTACGGAGTCCTCGACGAGCCCGCCTTGTCAGGGCAGGGCCGCCACATCGGTGTCACCTCATCCTACCTCTCAAGCTTGGCAGCCGGCGACCGAATCCAGGTCTCGATACGTGTCGCGCAGGGCGGATTCAAGCTGCCCGTCGACGTGGACAAGACACCGCTGCTGTGTGTCGCCGCCGGCACGGGCCTGGCGCCCTTCCGTGCGTTCGTCCAGGAGAGGGCCACCCTCCTCAGCAACGGCCGACAACTCGCGCCGGCGATCCTCTTCTTCGGCTGCCGCGATCCCCTCGCCGACGACCTGTACCGCGAAGAGTTTGACAAGTGGGAGGCCGCCGGCGCTGTCAAGGTGTACAGGGCATACAGCCGTAAACCGGGTGCGTCGAGCGGCTGCAAGTACGTTCAGGACCGTATTTGGCAGGAGCGCGAGATGCTATACGGCCTCTGGGACCAGGGGGCCAGGGTCTACGTCTGTGGCTCCAACAGGGTTGCTGAGGGCGTCAAGGATGTCCTGCTTAGGGCCGCCAAGGAGAGGAGCGAGATCGACGACGGCAAGCCGATGACGGAAGAAGAGTTGGAGGAGTGGTTCAATGGCATCCGAAACGAGCGGTATGCCACCGATGTATTTGACTAAAAGCTCTATGGAGCGGTATGCACCGCTTGATACATCGCCTCCACATCCGGAAGTATGAAATTTGTAAGACCATTAGGCGTATTAAACAGGACTTTTGTGTTCAGACTAGCAACTCGGATAGAACTTTCTCTTTTTATCTTGTTTTGTTTGAAAACCCGAACCACATGGAGTCCCCCAAGCGAAGTCACCGAGAACTTGCCTAACGCCGTCCGCTTTGCACGCATGAATAGTGTTCGAGGGCGCAGCATTGAAACCGTCATGTGCAGATTTTCTGCGAAGCTAGAGTCAATTGAACCAAATCCCTCTGCCGGAAGATGTGAGAGAGACTATCTAGCGCAGAATACGTGGCAATCGCCTTGTGGTCATGCCCCAGAGGATAGACACCACGCGGAACAGGTGTTCGGGCCACGCAATCTAATGCCGCTCGGACGAACTGAGCGCGAACCCCGCATACCCCACGAAACAGAATACCCTTCCAGGGGGGCGACCAGGGTCGCGGGTAACGCATAAAGGTTACCATGGGCCCAGGTTACCTGCTCTTGGGGATGGGTTTCGGGGTCTTGTCCGTCCTGTATTATGCACATCGGCCGCAAAAGATGACGAATCTCAAGTTCGACGCGGAATTTTGGGCCGTTGCTGGCCCCTTCATCGCAGTCCGACCGCCACGGAGGCCGACCAACGCCTTGGAGCTCCGCAGAAGTGTCAACGTCGGCCTGTCTGCCGTTCTCGGGCACGCCCTGCCAGACGGCATCGTCGAGACCAGACATGACGTCCAATCCTTTGACGGCGAAACGATCGCGCTGTACGAATTCGCCCCGGAGGTCAAAGACACCGGCGGAAAGCAGCCGGCACTCATCTACGTCCACGGGGGCGGCATCGTAGGCGGAGACATCGACCCGTACAGCAGGCCGCTCCCCGCGAGGGCGGCCCTGGAGACCGGGCTTCGCGTGTTCGCTGTCGAGTACCGTCTGGCGCCCGAGTTCCCGTACCCGGCGCCCACCGAGGACTGCTATGCAGCTCTCACATGGCTGAGCCGGAACGCGGAGACCCTCAACATCGATCCTGCGCGTATCGGATTCTACGCGCTCAGTGCCGGCGGCGGCATGGCTGCCGGCGCCGCCATGATGGCCCGCGACCGGGGTCTGTCGCCGCCGCTGGCGAAGCAGATACTCATCTATCCGATGCTCGACGATAGGACCAGAGCCCTTCCAGGCAACCCACTCTCCCAGTTCCTCACATGGACAGACCACTCGAACCAGATCAGCTGGAACGCGTACCTCGGCGAGGGCAAGGCAGGGGGGCCAGAAACGGCCGCGTACGCGGCGCCTGCGCGGGCCGTCGACGTTTCAAACCTGCCGCCAACTTACATCGAAGTGGGAGGGGTCGACCTCTTCTGTGCTGAGGCGGTTGCATTTGCCAGTAGGCTTGCCTCGGCGAACGTCCAGATGGAGCTGCATGTGTATCCGGGTCTTCCACACGTCTTCGACTTGTATGCTCCCATGATCAACTTGGCTCAACGAGCAAGGGAGAACCGCATACGAGCAGCAAAAAGCTTATAACGGAGACTTGTTGTTAGTCACAGGCTGGATGAATATAACACAGAGATATTGGCTACGACTATGGCAGCACTTGGACCTGCAACCTTTGCACCTTTGCTGTACGATCACCAAAGTGACAAGATCCAAACACGCTGCCTTCACACTTGCAGCACTAGCTGTCCTTCCAGGGGCAGCTCCTAGAGAGTGACATGTTTCAACCCTCTGAGAGCATGAGAGCGTTGCGATTTGGTGAGCCTATATAGCCTATACCGCGGTAAGCGGATTTGACGAAACTTTACACTCCTTTCCAAAAAGTTTCACGGCTAATTGTTTCAAATCAAACGCCGCCTGGCCGATCTCAATGAAGATCGCCAAGCTAAAAGTTGGGCTGCGCCTGTTTGCTGCGCTATGCCGCGGCTTTATTGGGCTTCTGATTTTCAAAAAAGAGGTGGCTGATAGGCGAACCACAAAACCACATGACGGTAGCAATAGCAATGAGTAATGTTCCAAGTTCCGCTGAATGAACCCGAGCAGTCATTTCATCCTTTTTCATCTAAAATTCCGTACAGTCTGGACGATGGTAGCCGATTCTAGACATCTTACATCGACTTCCACCGGCGGTGGATGATCTCAGCAGCCTGCAGATCTATTAGCAATCACTCTTTCTTCGGGAACCGGGCTAGGATGGATTTGGGACTAAATCACCTTCTTACCAATGGCGTACGCCGTCGTGGTGGTGTGGGAACCAGGGATGGTAAGGATGATGGAGCAGTCGGCAACACGGAGGCCCGAGATACCGTGGACAGAAAGGCTCGAGTCGACGACGCAGCCCTTCTCACGGGGCAGCATTGCAGCTATGCAGCAAGGGTGCATAAGTGACTGGATGACGGTCCTCTTGATGTACTCGATGAGGGCGTCGTGCTCGGTGACATCAACACCTGGAGCGACCTCGACATCTCCATGCGCCTGCCATGCGTCGGCAGAGTACAGGCGGTAGAAGTAGTCAACGTAGGTGACCATGATATCGAAGTCAATAGGGTTCGCGCCAGTGGCATAGTTGACAACGGGGGTGGCATCGTGGTCCGTGGAATTTAGGACGACGGAGTCACGGCTGAGGGGTTTGAGGATGAAGGCGGTTCCGGGACCCGCGTGGAAGGGCATCTCGAGGATGGAGTGCTCGGGGTGCTCGAGGGCCTGGGTGAGGACCTCGAGCTGCGCGAGGTAGCCCTCAAGGACGGCCCCAGTAACTAGACGGGCTCTTGGCCACCGACGCCACGGCTGCTGCTGCTTCTATTCTTCCAAGAGTGCTGTCAGAACAGGCAACATGTAATCCCTGTCACCCGGAAGAACATACGCTATCGCTTTGGAGTTGTGATAGCTTGGCCGCAAATCATACAGAAACATCCATCAAGGGCCGGGTTTCAAACTCGGTAGATTGATACGCATACCTATTCTGTGGGTATGCTATACCAGGATACAAACACACACATACTTGTGTTGGTGTATTAGATGATGCTGAAGTTCTAGTCGAAGTGGCTACCGCCGCCATAACGCTCGCGGATGCCGATTGTCACGATATATGAGCTACTATTACTGCCCACATAACTAACGGCGTTGTCTTTTGCGTGACAGTTATGAGCCCAGCTCCTACCTGCTAGTATACCACAATAGTACTATATCCTCTGACTTAACTAAAAAACCGCATAGACCATACGCTAGACCCCTTATAGAAAGCGGTCAACCTACCTCTACATACACCAACCTATGTAACCCTAACCCTTGCCGCCTAACTTGCTGCTAACGTAAATGACTCCCTGTATTTGCTACATCTAGATCCCTGTTTCTGCCACTACGCTAGCCCCTTTTCAGTAGCCTGCGGTCTGTGCGGATTTTTAGTTAAGTCAGAGGATACGGTATATGTGTTAATTTAAGTGCAGTAACTAGCTATAGATCTTAAGCACCGTGGGTTTAATTCCTATTAGGGTCCCCTAGTCAAAAGTCCTACTAAAGTCTAATAGATCCTCACCATCTATGATTAGCGAGATATACTTAACTAGGTTTTTATCAAAAAGTGTGTTCAGAAATAACTTTCTAGGTTAAATCTAGGGGGCATGTTATAATATATAAGCTACTATTACTGCCCATGTAACTAACGGCGTTGTCTTTTGCGTGACACCGATGATGTAATTAACAGATTTCGTTGAAGTCGAAAAATTCATAGTCCCAGGTTCCAGCGCATCCATCTTCTCCGACGCAAAATCCGATAGAACCAGATATTACGCATTGCTTTTGGCGTCAAACCCAAGAATTAGTATTGTTGTTTGATCTTTGAAAGACGATTGCCCTGCGCTTCACAATGCTAGCTTCCCTTCTTTAGGGCTAGCATCCTTTGTATAACCTGCTGGGTCGTGGCACTATAGTATCCTCCGCCTAATACTAGGATGTTAGTTATGAATGTTATCTTTGGCTTCTGACTTTATATACATACCTATTATCCACTCTTAGGGAAGGGATGAGTTGGTGTTGATATCAGTGATGAGCACCGGTTGTTTCGGCATACATTAGGGGGACAGCAAGGCCTAGTTCTCCAAGAACATCCATCGCCTTTAGCGAGGCACCATCGGGGCTGTAGTTGATGTATGACATCGCGGGATGCTAGATACGTTTCCTCGTCTGGTACTGGGGAGGCAATAGCAGTCATAGCTAGGGCAAGAGGAATAATAGAGAAACGCATCTTGGGAAGTGAAAGAGCGATGACTGTATAACAATAGAATGTATAGGATATGTGCAAACGGGGTAAAACTTGACGTGTTAAACAAAAAGCTTGAAGAAGAGAACTCCTTCCTGATCTAAGGATCACACTTATATAGTTACTCAGTTCTCTTTGATATACTAAAAACACTACATTAGTTTAGAAGATAAAATTTCAAAATAGGTTGTATTTTATACTTTTGTACTAATATAATTTGATTCATTCTTATATCATGTATGTGTTCGGCGAGCCGACTATTATAGTGAGCCGCCTACCTTAAGAAAAGTGGGGTTATTCTAGGGGACCTCAACAGTTTCCTAACAGTATTTTCGCGTGCAGCCAGCCTAGAGCAACCCCATTATTCTTAAGGTGGGCGGCTCGCTATGATTGGCGGCTTACTATGATTGGCGGCTTGCCATGCATGTACGTTGATTTAACTTTCTTTAATATAAAACTAGTTATTTCCAAAATCATGCTTTCTAATGTTCTAATCAGTCAGTCTTTGTAAAGTAATACTCTAAGTATCGCTCATACCGATAGAACTATTAATACTTGGGTAAACAGCATTTCCATCACCGTGTCCACTAGGTCAATTCGGCTTTAGCTAATGCATAAGCAAACTCGAGTATCGCAGCCGCCGAAAGACTAAGCCTCTCATAGAAGGCGGTCAATCCACCCATCCACCTTGCTTACTGGTCCTTACACCCAAACTTCCTACTGACATACTGTACTTAACTAACCCATGCTTTTGCCAGTATCTGATCCCTGTTTCTGCCAGCACGCCAGTTGACACGGTTAACTAGGTGATGGATTGGTTTCCCTCTAAGCTAGAGAGCTACAGCTGACGACACCTGGTCTTATTGACTGATGCCAGGTGGGCCGACCAGTATTAGGCCATTTGTTCTGTGACACCAGTCTCTTTTCAGCGGCCACTACAGCCTTTCTCGTTAGCTAAGAGCCTCAACGTGCATATGTCGACAGGTTCTGGGTTTCTTGTTCACCCCGATAATGACCTGCAACGTCCAACAACGCGTAAGGCGTGCCCAATAGAGCAGTATTACCTCCTATACAAAGAAAGTACCAGACATCAGGCATGCAACGATCGATGCCGCAAAATACTACAGACGACAGACGGATTGGCTCCCTGGCATCCGTAGCCTTAACTTTGCTTGCGAGCCGTGGCAATCTTCTTGTACCCCTGGGATTGAGTTGCCGAATGGGACCCTGCTGGGGGACCTTTTTGATCATTGTTGTCCACTGTCGAGACGACACCACAAAAGTCTTCGGACGGGAGCGTCGAGCCTTGGGCTTTTGAGATATATGGGCGCAGAACACAGCTTGTGACCTGATCGGCAGCTCGGACAGCGCTTGGATCAATAACGCCGCCGTCTCATCATCGTGACACAAGCCCCGGGGATCGTATCATCGTGCAAAGCCAGTGGGAAAGCCGCGCGGGGCGTCATGTATTACTAGCCAGGCCGATAAGCCTAGCTCCATCACAGCATCGTGAAACCTATTCCTCAACCCAAAACCCATCGTATGCACATACATAACCCCGCCTCTCTCTGCCTGCTTTACCAGGGTGTTGTTGTTCTCTCTCTTCACCTCCGGTCCTCCTCTTCCTCCTCCTCCTCCTCGAGGGCCTCCCTCTCGGCCTTGGTCCCCTTCCAGTCGACCCAGCGGATGAACACGGGCATCAGCACGGCGATGACCATGCCGGCGCCCAGGAACGCGGCCGTGACGCCGAAGCCGACGCGGTACGCCGGCGCGTCCCGGCTCGGCCAGATCCGGCTGCCGTACACGCTCGAGAAGTTGCCAAAGGCGTTGACCATGGCCAGCACGATGGCCCGCTTCTCGGGCGGCAGGCTCACGACGCCGCTCGCCCACGACAGCACCAGCGGCAGCGCCGACCAGATGCCCGCCGCCACGAAGCAGATCATGACGTACCGCACCACGGGCGCCTGCACGGCGGCGCACACGACGCTGCACGCGAACCCCAGCGCCAGCGGCGCCGCCACGTGCCACCGCCGCTCCGCGCGCCGGTCCGAGCTCCACGCCACGGCGTTGAGGCACACGGACGCCACGGCGTACACGGGCACCGTCATGTACTGCGCCGTCACCGTGTCGTAGCCCAGCGTCAGCGTGATGGTCGGGATGAAGTACGAGATGGTGCCGGCGCCGACGTCGAGCATGAAGAGCAGCACGAAGGCGTACGTCCGCGGGTCCGCCACCGCCGCCACGAAGGCGTTCCAGTGCGAGAGCCGCCTCCGGTTCTGCCCGCCCGAGGCGATGCCGTCGGCGACGATGCGGATGCTCGCAAGCTGGCGCTGCGCCGGCGTCAGCTGCCGCGCGGTGCTGGGGTAGTCGAGGAGCACGAAAAACGCGACGAGGGCAACGCCGACTGTGGCCACACCTTCGACGATGAACAACCAGCGCCATCCGGCGATGCCGTGCGCGTCATGGAGGTTCGACGTGATGGCGCCGGCGAGCAGGCCGCCGAAGGCGCCGGAGAGGACGGCGGCCGTGTAGAAGATAGCGAAACGCTTGCCTGCAGATGGTCAGCCCTTGCGCGCCCCTTGAACCGTTTTTTTGTGAAGGTTGCGTCGATACGTAGCAGGACGCGCGCGCGGGGGAGGTTTGGGTGGTTTGGGGGGGCACATTTCACATACCCAGCTCAGCCCTGGTGTACCAACAGCTCAGGAGATACAAGACGCCGGGGAAGAAACCGGCCTCGACGCACCCGAGGACGAAGCGGAACCCCAGCAGCGCGCCGTAGCTCTTGGAGATGGACATGAGGGCGCTCAGCGCGCCCCAGACGAGCATGATGCCCGGGAGGAAGACGGACGGCCGGCTGCGGCTGAGGATCATGTTCGAGGGCACCTCGCAGATGAGGTACCCGAAGAAGAAGATGGATAGCACCCAGGCGTACCCGTCGTCGGTGAGGCTGAGATCCTTTTGCATCCCCGCAATCTTGGCATTTCCCTGTAGTTCACGCGCCGACAAACGTCAGTGGTCTGGTCTGTGCTCTCTGTCGTCGGAAACTCTTTCAAAGAATCTTTCTCCCTCACCCCCCTATTCATGAAGGGAGAAGGAAAAAAGGAGGGGAAAAGGAGAACTTACAATGTTGGTGCGGTCCACGTAGTTCAGGATATACATGATCCAAAGTATAGGCATCTGGGTTCGGCCGTGTTAGGATCCGTCGACGACAGTAAAAGAAAAAAGCAAAGCGAGTCGCGACACGCACCAGAAACAGGTCAATCTTCTTCACGAGCTGCTTCTCCTCCCGCGTGCCGGGAACGTAGTTCCTCAGGGCCTCGGCGAGCTCGGCGTCCGCCTCGTCGACGACGGGCGCGTGTTTGTCTTCCTTCATCTCGAGAGACTGCTTCCGACCATTCTCGAAACTCATTTTTTCCTTCTCCGCGATGCACCCTCGCTGGGCGCTTTGTCACCGTCGTTCGTCCCTTGTGCCGCCCCTCCTTGACTCGTGGTGGTGACGGCGGCGGCGGCGGCGGCGGCTGAACCAAGAGGCTTAACCACCACAGTGGGTTGGCTATTGTGTGGAGATGTGAGCGAAAAATGCGTCACGCAATTGCCCTCTTCGTCGCAGATGGGGAACGGGCTTGAGGTTTGTTTAGGAGTCGCGAAGAGTCGACCGCGAGGTTGAGGGATGAAGCCTTCTACCCCATGCAAAAAACGGTGGTAATAACAGAAAGTTGGATATATATTCAAAGTGTTGGTCAAAGCGCGACTCATACCCGTCCGGGGTATTCCGACTTGCCCTCTCTTCCCCACGGGGTAAAGGATGGGTTGAGAGTGAAGGGGAGACAGCCGAGAAGGGGGATTCGAGGTGGATGTTCGATACCCGCGGTGAGGAGCCGTCCGTCTGGGGCGGACGCGAAGGAATGGCCTCCCATCTGGTTGAGATCAGCCGATGGTCCATCATCGCAGCGCTAAACGAGGCATGATTGGACTGCAAACGTCGCGAGATGATCCGGATCCACGCAGAGACGGCTCCCCTCCCCCCCAGGGCGGACTTCTTCCCGAGCCTCAACGACAAGAGGGGACAGCGGCCTTCAGCCCGAGCCATCTGCATCCGGGTTTGGTCCCACCATTTGATTTCCCCGCGATCAACAACACAAGCATCACGAACGCTGCATATCAGGTGGGGATGGGGGAAAAAAAGCCACAAATGAATAGGGCGCCATGGCGTCTGTCATCTCAGTAGGGTGACAATATTGTCATTCAGCCAGGCATTTGTGAGTTTAGCAAGTCTAGCATGTTGAGCGGGTATTGCTCAGGGCCCATTCCATAGTTGTTCATCATCTCCCCGCTGAACATCCATTGGTTCCAATCCTGGCCGATATCCCCCTCGTTCCAGACCTGAGAGATAGGCTGGCCCGGTTGAGCGGGTTGCCCCGGCTGGCTCCCGGCAATGTACTGCCTCTCCTGGGGACCTCGTTCTTTGAACTTATCAAGCATGGTGCTGAGACCGCGTCCGATGTAGTGTGCAACGTGACGGGCACAACGATTCGTCTCCTCCAGCAGCTGGACGACACGCTCGATGAGGTCGACTACTTCGTTGTAACGAACGTTTAGCCTCGCGGGCTTCCACTGAGCGTGAACCTTCATGAGGAACATGGCAGCATAGGCAATGGTGGTAAGAAGGTAGAGCGGCACTCCGATGACGGCCCTGCGCATGTCGGCATCTGTCAAGATCAGCTCTAACGCGGCAGACGCGCTTGCGATGGCGAGGTTGATGAACTCGCGGCGCTCATCAGACATGGCGTATTGGTCCGACGGGTTCGACGGGTTGAGACCTCGCAGACAGATGGAAAACAACAAGAGACGGGCAAAGTGGTAGTGAAGGATGACGCCCTTGGCAGGGTACTGTGCTATGTGCTTGTCCGGCACTTGCCACAATGTTAGCCGACGTCCTGTCGTGTCAGGGAGAGAGCAGGGCTGATGATGCTTTCTTACCTAGCCGAGTTTCCCATTGGAGCTTCCATCGAGCGAGGTCGGCGTCGTATCTCTTCAGTGCTTCAAACTCATCTCTGGCAACTTGCCTCGATGTGTCTGGGCCAAATGTGTGGAAAACCCGACTCAAAATAATAAAGACACCAACCTGGCTATGTAGACGGAAGTCGGCTTGCGTAATGCCTGGCAACGTGAGAAAAGCTTCATGA